CACGAGCTGCTGCTGCTAAAAGGCCTGCAGCTGCCCTGCATGAGGCTAATTAAGCCGCTAATGTGAGAATGAGTCTCTGATGACACTTGAGACATCACTCCCATCATCTCTGATCTCACCCTCAACCAGAGACTTAGCAGCTTTGATTCAACACAGACTCGGCTTAATTGGTTTAATCTCAGTAATTGGTCCCGTTTAAATTGGACGAGTGTTTCCCATCTGCATACAGAGATGTGTTTGTTGGAGGTTTTTAGCGCCACACAGAAAGACTTTTTTGAGGAATACGTATTTATGCAGGAGTGTGCAAACGTCAGTCACAACAAGAGCTTTTTAAATCCCTCTCCAGTATGACCTGAGGGATGATTCTTCATCACTTTGGGATACAAAACATTACGTCAGAGATGCGTCAGTTGGAAAGTTACAACAAATTAATGATTTCTGATGTGTATTATTATTCAGGCCTCGGAATCAGAACTTTATAGAACCTCTTTCCTCTGTAGGTCCACTGGGTCAGAACCCTGAATCTGCTTCGGTCTAATCAAAGCAGATTCACAAAAGCAATGCCATTATTTTTGTAAACTTGTTGCTCTTTTTACATTTTTACACTGACTTCTGCATCTTTAAATGGTATTTATTGGAGTAAAAAAGGGAAGAATTTTTATTTATTTATTTTTTATTTTTAAAAAGTAAAAGAATATTTTCTCCTCCATGTGGGACGTTTTGTTGCTTGATCCAAAGTTTTCAGCCTGAGTTTCCCTGCAGCTCCTTCTGGAAACTCAAAGCTGTTTTTCTGTCTTTAAGATGCTGGAAAAAATAAACATTTAAACCCAAGCTGCTTCCTGAGGTCGCCACAGCAACCACCAATAACCTGACATCAGCCGGCTGCAGGTTGGCCTCGTTTCCGTGGCCAGGTTAACGAGTCTCTGACCTTCATCCTCCTCGTCTTCATCCCAGCAGGCGCTGTGTTCCTGTTGTTGATGCAGCAGCAGCGACACGATGTTCTGCCGCTCAAATTGAAGCTGATTGCAGTTTAGTATTCAGTCAGTCGGGAGACGCGGCTTCATGAAAACACAAACTGAGCATTTCAGGTTCTGCATAACTCAGCTATAAATATTTACATTCAGATTCGCTGCCGGTTCTGCTGTTTTTACTAAACGGCTCTGTTAAAACAAAAAATTATTGTTTCACGATCAAAATATATAAATACACACCCATTAATGTTTCCCATCAGCTGAACTAAGAACTCAGTCGAAATATTAGAATTTTGATTTATTTCATAAAGGGGACAATGCATATTAATTAACAAAAATAAATCATGTAAATATTTAAAAAATTACATTTAACACACATAACTTGCATGACTTATATAATTTATTTCAATGTATAGCTCAAAGTATGATAATTCACAGTAAATATTTACAATAAAAATAAAAACAAGTCACATCCATGTGGAAAAAAAAGACATAAAAACATTCATTTAAAAATGATCAGAGTGAGAACAAGCCTGATTATCTAGTAATCAATGATTTCCTGAGCGAGTTCATAGTTCTACAACTGGAAAACCATCACAAAGGAAAAAAATGCAGCTTTTAATGGAATAATTGAATTTCACTTTAGTTAAAAATGTTGCAGTGTTTTATCTTCACTGTCTGTGGAATGAAAACTCTTCTTCTGCGGCTGCAACTCGCTGAAGAAAACCTGAGCTAAATTAACTTCACTCTGCAGAGTTAAAACTGACACATGAACAGAATTTATGAATTGATTTCTTTTTTCTGAATATTCAGCTTGCTGGTTTCTGCTCCTTCCTGCACACCTGGTCCTCATCATCATCATCACAGGTGGACACAGTTAATCAGAGACTCCGTAGGTTATAAATGCTTCCCGAGATCCACTGGATCCTTTCAGACACTTTAACTTTATCACAACAAACATGAACAGAGCAGCAGCTCCTTGTGAAGGTTTGGTTTTAGTTCAGGAACTGGTTAAAAAGTCAGTATTAATCAAACCATTTATCAAGCAACATTTTCGATTCAAAACTTACTTTAGTGCTAATTCATTGAGTGAACAGCCACATGAGCTCAACAACAGATACTTAAGAGTTTGTAATTCGTTCAGGTTCTTCAGATTTGGAGCAAAATGTTTCAGGAAGTCCTGATCATTCATGGAGCCTCCAAATCCAACTGTCAAATCACACTTTTAGTGTTTTTTTAGTGTTTACTGCAGGAGTTTGGACTCTGAACAAAACTTACATAATTGTCAAATGTTAACTTTGTTTTTTGGGGCATTTTATATAATAATTTCTGGCTGATCCTTCAAATCTCCATAGGATCCTCAAACAAATGTACTTATTTTGGCCTTTAAGATTGTTCATTAGCACCTAATTCCTGATGGGAAGCTTATTTATTCCTAGCTAAAACAGAAGAAATATGACTCTTCCTGTCTAATAAAACTCTTAAAATCTTTTCTCCGTCCTCCATGTTTGTCATGATCTGCTGACATAAACTCCCATCCGCTCCGTTTTGTCGGCTGTTTGATGGTTTTGAATCTTCTGTGTAAATACCAAGATGAACTAATAGCTGCTGTGTTTGTTTCTGTGTCGTGATGAGCTTTGAGTCCACAAACAGACGTCTGCCTCCATGCTGCTGTCCAGACCGAGGTTATAAATAAAGGTTGAACTGCATCTGGGCCAGGCAGATGATGGGAGCTCCACCGCGAAGTGAACTCACTTTAATATGCTACAAAAATACATGAAGTGTTTTTCTCCCAGCTGCAGGAATGCCATTAAACAGGAATGTGGCACAAAATTATGTTGGACAGACCAGGAGCTGAAAATAACTGACCTTTGACCTCCCAAATGTTTTCACTGATATGACGTAGTAGAGGACGCAATACTTTCTGAACTTTAGCTTTTATTTAATTACAACATACTGGGGGGAAAAATGATACAAAGCAAAGATTTTGCCCATATAGAATAACTTCATCCAGCGGTGCTGCACTGCCTTACCAGAGGAACCAAACTGAGAAACATTTGAGGCCAAGAATGCTCCACCTTTAATTCTGGGATGACTTTAGGTCATGTGGGAAGATTTTCCTAGAGAATAAGAATTGCTTATGGGAATTATTGACCACTTATGATGTTGGAGGAGGAGGTCTGATCACTAATTGAACCCAAAGGTTTTCTATCAGGTTGAAGTCAGGCTCTCATCCATATGTTTGAGTTTTCTTTATGCACATTATGATGTCACCAGGTGACTCTGAACCTGTCCAAATCAATGGAAGGGTCCCAATACTTTCTCTAGCTGAGCATAAACTAAACACAAGTTATGAAAGAGGAACGACCTCGAGTCAGCACACAGTTTGTTATTCCAGCTGGAAACTGGAGATCAGGATGAACTCTGGGTTTGAACCTTCAGAGTCGCAAAAAGACAGTTACAAGGACGATCTTCTATCAGCTGAAGAACATTTCTCATACATTAAGTTCTGCTGCTGTGTCAACCTTTCAGACATATTAGGTCATCTGAAGAACGAAACATGGAGAAACAGCATTCAGCTTTTATGCACCACAAATCTGGAACTTCCAGAAAATTAATAAAGTGCAGAAGCCCTGAGTTCCTTTAAATCTAGAGCAGCTTTTCATTCATAATAACTGGAACATTGATCAGTATATTTCAGTATTGATGATAAATGCATTTGATAAATTGTAAGGTTTATCATTGCCTAATTGGATAAATATTCATTAAAATAACTAAAGGGAATTTTTCTGATGACCAGAGACACAGAGCAGTGGCTCTGGTAGAGACAGTTCAAAAACACAAAAACAAATTAAGTTCTTGTTTATTTGGACTTTCATTGTGAAAGTCTATCAACTGCAGGCCTGTTTTCTGATTGGCTGCAGTCTGAAATCTGCTCGTTATGCAGGAAACCAGTTTCCTCCTGAAGGAAACTGGTTTCTATCACATTCATTCATCTGTCACTAGTGATGTTTTACATTCGCACACCAATCAGACACTAACATTTTATTAAATACATTTCACCAATAATCAGGTGTAACAAAGTGATAAACAGAGGCAAATAAACATTCTTTACCTATTAGAATAACCAAATCATGCAAACAAGCAGATAAAACAAGTAATTATTGATGATAATAACAACGAAAACACCAAATAAGAATGAAGATAGATTGATCAGTTGCTTTGGAAATGGTGAAGATTGGTTAGAAAACAATGGAGCGATTTGGATATTTTAAACAGAGACGGATTAAATAAGTAAGTAAAACATTAAAGTTTGGACCAGATGATGATGATGCTCCAGATATTGAGGATATAAAACAAACCAACACAAAGTAAAAGCTGGAAGGGAGTGGATGGCGGCCTGAGCTGGATCAGGATCGACGTTGAGCCACCAAACCAACAGCATTTCAGTTCGATGTGAAACGATTTAATCCTCCTGGTAAACCAGAAGCCGAGCAGAGCCTGCACTTCTCACCATGATGTCATGATGTTTCCACTTCAGACTGAGTGTACCTCACATCATCCTGACTATAAACTCGTTAAATATTTAACGAGTTTATTTCTATCCTATAAAGTCTCTAAATGAACTCAACCAAACAGATGACTTAATTGATTTAGACCAGTAAAAATATGATGCATTAATATTAGACCTGTCTGGTCATTTGACCCACAGATGGAAAGGTTTGGTTTAATATTGGGTTCTGACAGTAAAATTTACTCCATGTTTCTTTTATCAGGGAGAGTAGCCCACAGCGCCACCTGTTGGCCTCCCCTCACCCCAGTATAAACCAGTTGATGGTTTATACCATCAAACATCTGTTTCAACAGAGTGAAACTGATGTTTCACTCTGTTGGACAGTTTGAGTTAAACTTCCAGGGCGTTTGGTAACAACAGTCTGACTCTATAAATAACCAGCTGGATGGAAAAAGGAAGTGAGGAAGTTTAGTCATCTGTTCCGTCTCTTTGTCTGTCTCTCTATTTGTCTGCAGGACACACAGCGACATGCCGCTGCTGCTCACCTCCGTCTGGCTCCTTTCAGGTGAGAGACCTTCGGGGATAGAGGTCATTGAATGGCGTTTTGATTACATCATGATTTAATTTCATAAAACTTGTCTAAATGCAGAAGGTTAGGCCTGAAAATATGATTCTTTTCCTTTAATCTATGAGCAGAAATGTTGTACGACGGCTTGTTGGGGCCAAACAGATAGAAAAAACAGGAGAACATTTACACCAACAAATTCATCTGCGAAATTTTCTAGAAAAAAACAAGAAAATTTGAGTTTTAAAAGTCAACATTTTGCCCCCCAAAAAGCCCAGAAATTATTAAATTAACCTCTGACATTTTTTAGAGAAAAACAGAAATGTTGAGATAAAAATGTTCAAAATTTTATGTAAAAAGTTTTCAGAAAAAACTTAAATTTGGGTTTATTTTGTAATGAGAAAAAAATAGATGTTCATTTTTCAGCTATTGTTCCACCATGTTTCCCTTAAAAATTTCTGTTTCAAACTATTTAATTTAAAAAACTAAATATTTTAGTTTGAAAACTAAACAAAGGTTTAGACCTGAGGTAAAACTAACTTTGAGGCGTTTTCTAACCACACAGATCGGCTCATTCAGTTCTGGATTGGATAGTGACTTCAGGAACCCAAATATACAAGTCTTTAGAAAAACAGAAAATGGAAAAACTACTGAAGCATCCCTCTGTTTCTGTAGCGCTAGGTGTGTCAGCTGTTGCCACGGACACCGTGGTGGGTGTGGCCGGGCAGGTGGTGAAGCTCCCATGTCGGTTAGAGGAGGCAAGGCAGAGCGGAGTGGAGGTGTGCTGGGGCAGGGGGAAGCCATCACTGTTTACCTGCCACAACACCTTGATCAACGGCGCCGGGGGTCAGGTGACCTACCAACAGTCAGACAGGTAGGCCACTGATAGTCACACAGGTAGGCCACTGATAGTCACACAGGTAGGCCACTGATAGTCACACAGGTAGGCCACTGATAGTCACACAGGTAGGCCACTGATAGTCACACAGGTAGGCCACTGATAGTCACACAGGTAGGCCACTGATAGTCACACAGGTAGGCCACTGATAGTCACACAGGTAGGCCACTGATAGTCACACAGGTAGGCCACTGATAGTCACACAGGTAGGCCACTGATAGTCACACAGGTAGGCCCCGACGATCTCACAGTTGCATTCAGAAGCAGGAAAATTCTGATTGTGCCTGAACATTTCAAACTTTTTGAGGAGAGAAAAATGTTTATTTGATTGTTCTCTCCTCATCATGCTAGTGAGCGTCCTTCTGTCCTCTGCAGGTTCTCGATGTCCTCCTCCACCTCCGCTCTGATCATCTCTGGGTCTCGACTCTCAGATGCTGGTTTCTATCACTGCAGAGTTCAGCTGCCCGGACCCTTCAACGACCAAACATTCACCATCCACCTCATCATCGCCCGCCGTACGCTCGCTCCTCCTCCACCTCTGATTCTGAGGATGTAGCCTGTCGCATCTCCAGCTGCTGGCCTGAATCGTTTTATCTTCTGCCGTCTTGCAGCTCGACCTGTGATCTCCAAACATCTGGGCCGTGAAGATGAGGAGAAGCTCAACACACCAAACACCGTAACGAGTGGGTAGAATCTGATCTGAGAGCAGGCGGCTGCTTACAGGGGCAGAATCGACTATTTTTAGTTTTAAAATTTTTTATGTTTTTCCCTCATCAAAACCACACATCGACATTTTCATCCATGATTTCTAAACAATTCTGGATTTACTGCCAGGTTTCAACACGCATCAAAGAGGAAGTGATGTCACAGGGGGTGCAGGAACAGAGCCAATGGTAGCTCAGGTCCAGGTGGGCTTGCACCATCAATTCAACATCAACAGCAAGAATCGCCTTCTGCACCAAGAACAAACTTAAATCATTGTTTATCAGTTAATTAATTTTTACTAAGTTAAACAGCTTTTCTTGTCTAAAGTGTGTTTTTCTCTTTTTTGGTTTTGTTTCTTTTTTTTTTTTTTTTTTTTACAAAAAATGTTCATAAATCATATTTTTTTTAAATGTTTTTACTGATCTACTGCTTGTTTCTTCAGTCTCCTGTCCAGGAGGAGCCAGTGAACTCTCTGCAGACCTTTATTGGAAGCACTCTGAGACTGGCCTTCATCATCTTCATCCCTGCTGTGCTGTTGGCTGCTGGTTACAGTCCGTGCAAAATGACAAACTGAATCAAAATATTTAACAACATTTTATAAAAATCGTTTAAAGTTGAACTCTTAAAACTCATCTGTTGGCTGCAGGAGTTTGGAGATCTAACCGGGAAGCAGAGAGTAAAGGGAAGTCGGACCAATCAGAGGAGGAGGAGAGCAGCTCCGTGTGAAGATGAGCAATCATCAGATCACTGTGATCCCTGAACTTTAAGCAGCTTCTCCAATGTTCCTCTTTCAGGATTTAAAGTAGCTGTTTCTGCTGCTGACAGTCCTGTAGGGCCGAGTTGATCTGAGCCTGTCTATCTCTACTATTCAGTCTGTCATGTATTCAATAGTCACTGTGGCTTGGCTAGGACAGCGTACTGGTTAAGGACATGTAGTTTCTGTCCCCAGTAGTCAGCTGTTCTGCTAGGAAACAAAAGTTTTATCCTGTCACGTCAAACTTTTTTTCTTTTTTTGCTTAAAAAAATGATGGCGAATAGTACATGTACATAATATTCTTTTATCCTTATTTTATTTTCTCAAAAGCTTATACATTTAAATACTCTGCATACTGTGAGTGTTGGAGACCAAGGTCTGTAAAGTTGTTCAGAGTCTAAATAAACGTGGGAAATCACGAACTGTGTTTTCTATCATCCACTGTTGTTGCCGCCGATCAGTAATCAAGATAAGAGACGCCCACCACGGCGCGTCGCCCTGCTGTTATGGGACGGGACGTTTGCTGCAGTGATAAGACATTATTTTATGGCAGTGTTGTTTTGTTTTTAAAAAGTGATCCAAGGAGCAATCGGTCATGCATAGAAGTCGGTTAGAGTTCCTCAAAACTGAACACCAATCAGAGTAGTATACCTTAAACACTTTATCACACAGCAGCACACTGCACCATGATGGACACTTTTTTCTGTGTTCATCCTCATTATCATTATTCAGCCTGGGATTTGTGTCTTCCCTCTCACGTCTGTATCTTCACGAGAGGCTTTACTTCTAAGGACAGTGGAGAATCGGGTCGAGGACACATAACACTTTGTGTTATGTGTGCCATAGGCATGTCTATCAGACATTGAAAGAAATACGGACCAAATCGCGGCCCGTATCGGTTCAATACGGGACACAACGTTTAACAGCGTTGGCAACCCTAGATGGACCAGATAGCAGCTTAGCACCAAGGTGGTTACATGCAGTAAACAGCTTTTCTTGTCTAAAGTGTGTTTTTCTCTTTTTTGGATTTGTTTCCTTTTTTTTTTTTTTTTACAAAAAATGTTCATAAATCATTTTTTTTTAAATGTTTTTACTGATCTACTGCTTGTTTCTTTAGTCTCCTGTCCAGGAGGAGCCGGTGAACTCTCTGCAGACCTTTATTGGAAGGACTGCAGAGAGTAGCCAAGACTCCTTCAGCTAATAACTTGAGATGGTTTGGACCAGAAGGTCTAAATAGTCATGCAGGGACAAAAACAAATTGTAACAGTATTTAAAAATCTGAAAAATATATATTTCTTCTTTGTTTCTATTATCAGAAACTTAAAAACAGAGTTATTAGCTAAAACGAATAGTAGTAAGCTAACAGTTGGTCACGTGATTCAATCAGTCCCGCGTGGACCGTCGCCATCTTTAAGGCATTGGACCACATGCTGGAGACGGAGTGAAGGGTTTCTGGTTGGAAAAATGTTGCCGTTCATGTGGAGAAAGTAAGTTTAACATGCATTTTTCTTCTTTGGGGTTTAAAGGCAGCAATTTAACCCCATTATATTTGGTAACTTTGTAATTATTCTGTGCCGTTCCATTAACTATAACGCAGTTTTAATCTTTAATTTGTTGTAGACTACACCTGGTGTAACAATAAAGACAATTAATTTCAGACTGTTTTCGGTCATGTAAAAGTGTTTTGCAGTTAGTTTTCTGCTTTTATATGAAACAGTGTTAATTTTATTTTCCTTCACACAAAATATAGTCTCTTCATACCTTACAGAATACTTTAAAAGAGAAATAACATTTAATGAGAAAATAGAGCTGCGTCCACGCAACTCCGAAGTTGATTTTTGCATATTTCAATATATCACAATCAGAAGGGTGGGGGAAGCTTTGTTTTAGATGACAAACAGTCGGACCTAAAAGAATATAGGTTTAGTTCACTGAAAGCCTAAAATCCAGAGGATCCTGGTTCGATTCTTGGTCATAGCGAACCTGTGTTGTCATTTCACAAAGAAATGGTGCCTTACTTATATTTTACATTTCAGGTAATATGTCTTACTACATGGAAAGCAAATCAAGAATGCAAATTAACTGCACAATAATGTTTTTGCCATACTTTAATTATACTTTGCATTTGCATGTCCATCTGAATATATCAATGTATTTTTCAGTTTTCTCACGTTTTTTGTTGGTTATTAATAAATGAATTAGCTTATAAGGTGCTTTAATGTGGAGTATGTTTGTTTTTACATGTAACTCTTTCATGCATCATAGTTAAGTCAGTTTAATTTTTATTTTAATGTCATTAGAAGAGGTGCTGATTTATATTAAAAATGTTATTTAAGAATGACCACATCGTTGAAATTAAACCATTTAAAATCTGAACAAGAAAAAATATTTTACTTATTTAAACATATGTACAGAATTGAGTACAAGTATGTAAGGCAAAGATGGAAAGAAATTTTATTTTCTTTACAAATATAAACAAAATGTCAAAAGAGTACTGTAAAATATGTAATATATACATATATATCCATCCATTTTCTGTTAACCCTTGTCCCTACGGGGGTCTGGAGATGCTGTTTCCTCTCAAGCTGCGTTCTAGGCGAGAGGCGGGGGTCACCTGGACAGGTCGCCAGTCTGTTGCAGGGCAACACAGAAACAGAAGGGACAAACGACTATGGACACACACTCAGAACCCACTATGCACAGGGAGAACATAAACTTTCGATATTTTAAGTGTAAAAGTGTCAAAATAAATGGAAAAAAGTTCCACTTGGAAATCCCTATACCAAACTGTACATTGTTTAATATTTACAACACTCTTTGCAAAGTTTTGCCATATTAATTGCAAAATTATCTGCAATTATATGCCCTTTCTGGCAGCCCACCTCTCCTTTTCAGTCCCATAAAAAGAGGATTGACAAAACTCCCCCAGGTCATTTCCCCTTTCATTCCCTGGGTCTGGTACAGGGACAGAACCTTTGCAGGGCAGTAAATGTATTTCCCATTTATACCAGGAAACCCAGTGTGGACATGGGGACTGTTTGGGCCTTGTTTCAGAGTCCTGTGGCAGAACATGCAGACGCCCAGCAGGATGCTCCTCCTTGGCCTTCTTCTTTCCTCGCTCCTCCATCACCTGTCTTACTTCTGCTGAGCGTCGCTTTGCAGCCTCCAGCTCCCGGGCGAAAAACGGTGTATCCGCAAAATTAGTAAATGACATTCTGGGATCACACAGGCCCTCTGCCATGTAGGTCTGGTAAACCTTTTGTGAGCAATAAAAATAGTGTACATCTGCAGACTGGTAGAAGAAGTGGACAGAGGAGCCGTCACCCTGAAAACGGGACTTTGGCCACATGCAAGACATTTCCTTGTCCTCTTCTTCATGGGCTGCTGATCTTTCTGCTGCTGCGGCTGTTGTTGTAGCACAATCTCCTTACCCATTTGCTCAATTTGTGCTTTTGTATTGGATCATTCTGGGTCTTAATGTTAGGTGGGTTCACAGTAACAGGTGGAATAGTGACTACTGGAACACTAACAGTCTCACTGCCTTCTGTTAGATGATGCCAGAGCTGTTGCGTCTCTAAAAGCTTCTCTGGACTGATGTTGAAAGATGATTTTGTGTTTTTTATCTTGGCCAGATGCCTCACATAACGTGAGATATTCTGTTTGTTTTTTGGGTGTAAAAGGCTTTGTGGATCTTTCAGGGAAGCTTGAACACAAACAGCATATTCAGCATCCATCTTAGCCAGGCAGACTTTCTGCCCATGATTCTTTAGCAAAAGCTTGTCGATTGGATCCCTCATGGGCTGTGTCCACCTGGAGTGGTCCAGGACAAAGGTCAGACCACCTGCCTTGATGGGACCTGTGCGAGAAGCTCGAGGAGAGGCGACAGAAAGCAGTGATGTCACTGGCGTCTGTGGTGCAGGGAGAGAAATTAAAGTTTAGATTCAGAAAAAAACTTTATTAGTGCTCAGTGAGCAATTCATTTCTGCAGCCATTACAATCTGAATTTTAAAAATATCAGGATTTTCCTCACAAAGTTTTATTAAAGTGGTAACGTGATGGAAAATACCTCTTGGGGGCTTTGCTGGATCCCACCTTGTGAGCCTAAAATAGCCACAGCAACAGTGCACTCCTGAAACAAAAAAAGCAGAATAAAACTAATAAATACATTTTTTGTTAGTCAATATTTGCAAAATTTATTTTAATTGCTGTGGAAAATTTTAAAATAAAAGAATGAAAAGCTCCTCCCTCACTTTTTCAAGTGAATCGATGAAAATCTCCGAGTCAGGTTTTGGTTCCTTGTGATGAGGGACTTCATCAGGTGGGGGGACTTTCTGAGACTTATGTTTGTCCCAGTTCAGGGGGACAGGGCGACAGCCTGGCTCCAGGTACTGCAAACCAAACATTTCTCCAGTATCTTTGTTGGAAATTTGTAAAGCTGGATACTTGGCTTGGCCTGTTATTTCCTGGGTGAGTCTGTTCAGGTCTGAGACCAAAACAGGATCAAAAACTGCAGGGAGCTTCACACCTGGCAGTTTCAGGTCCACAAGGCGCTGAAAATTCCACCGAGCGATTCCCATCATCCCCTGTGCCTGGAAGAGCTCAGTGGATACCTGCGTTCCAGTGACCCACCTGGCCTGGTGGAAGTGAAAGCCCTCCTGCTGAGAAGTTCCCCGCACCGGGATCCACACAGGTACGGCCGCTTTCGCCCCCTTAACGTGGTTCAGTTGTATGTTTCCTCCATGTCTATAGAGGACTCCCTCTCCAACCTCTGGGCCACTCAAGCAGCCACGGAGGATGTGAACCCGTTGAATTCTCCACACTTTTAGCATGGAGGGTTTGAAAAGTGGCACCCCATCAGGATCACATTCTGAGTAAAATCTCTGCAGCACGCTTTCCACTCTCTCCACCAACTCTGCAGGACCTCTAATGTTCTGCTTGGTTGGGTTCGGTGGCTCGATCCCACAGAAAACGTAGGCCTGCCGCAGCCTCTGCAGGTCTGCCTGGTCCACATCACAGAACGCCGCTGACAGCACTTTGCAGAAAGTGCTGTACAGTGGATGATGTTCTGAAGTGCACTCTCTGCAGAAACGCCGTATACAGTGAAACAAGTCTTCGCTCCGTCTCTGGTCATTACTGAGACAGAAATATCTATCCAGAATGACAACACATTGAAGCGGGTTTTAAATATCTGAACATTAATTTTCTTTTTGTACAAATGTAAAAACAAACGAATGAACGGCATGAAGCTAATGAACCTCGTGATCCAGTCACGAGCGGCCGGTGTGGGCCGCCGCCATCTTGGCGATGGGAGCGGCCATGTTGAAGACCAGCTGAGAGATTAGGACAAATTTGGGCGTTCCTGTGGAAAAAGTAAGCGTACTTTATATATTTCTTGTTTTAGGATTAATGGCATCAATTAAACATTGTTCTTTATATAGATGTGTAGTTTCGCGGTGTTTTTTTCAGCCATTAAATCATGGCTAACTGAGTGACGCAGTTACATTTCTTCTGTTAGCTCTGCTCGGTCTGAGATTTTGTTTATTTTATAAAATCACACACGCTTCTGTGATATTAAAAACAAACCATTGCAAACAACTCAGTCAGCTCCAGAGCAGATTAACAGGGAGGCATCGGCTTATTTTGACTGTGAAAAGTTCTTTGCGTTTTACCTGTTTGCTTCCATAATTCTAACACACCTGAGCTGCTCTGCCCAGCAGAAGGTCTCCTCGCTGCCGCACAGGTGTAAAACCAGCGCGAGCGTCTTTGCGCTCAGGTTGCATTTAAAGGCGGCTCGGAAAAACAGGTTACGACTTAACAACGGATTAAACAGTTTTAACTGCTGAAAAATGACAGAAGGCACAGATATGGAAAGTGCGGAAGCCTCCACTGTATCAAATCGATATAGGAATAAAAGAGAGTTGGACACTTGCACCTACCTCTTCTGTGCTCGCTGTGGACAAAACGGGTACTGACGCAGTGTGTATTCATCGCAGTCCTCGTTAGTATAGTGGTGAGTATCCCCGCCTGTCACGCGGGAGACCGGGGTTCGATTCCCCGACGGGGAGGCATGACTTTTTCCAGTTTTTTTTTTATTTACGCAAACATTTTGCAGGCATACTGCCGACTTTTTAGGTCAAGTAACATACAGACCAATTATTGCACAGTAGCTACTGAGGGAAGTAAATATGCTCATTTACTTTGGAAAATAATCTGTCATTGCTCTATTAAAAGCAGTTACTTTAACAGAGATCAAACAAAAAAAACTGTTAATTTATTTTCTGGTTTCATCATTAATAAGAACTCATAAGGATTACATTGTCCTGACAACAGGAGTCAGTTTATCATTGTATCAAGACCAGCGAGAACGTTGAATGTTGGTCCTTTTACTTTGTATGAGTGGCGCCCCACAGTGGACACCAGGGCAAATAGACCGTGTTTACTATGTAAACTCTTATTGATCAGATCTATTCAGTTGGTCAGACAGCCAAGACCTGGACATGTTATCAAAGTAAGCTTTATAATCTATTTTTAGATATTAATTTCTATTTCACCAGATTTTTGTCTAACAATTACCATCATGTTGTAACCAGAGCTCTGTGGTTTCTGTCTGTATTCAGAGTTGGTGTTTTCTGCAGAGCTGCTTTCTGTTCTCACCTCTGAAGAGAAAAATTGTGTCCTCGTTAGTATAGTGGTGAGTATCCCCGCCTGTCAAGAATACATTTTATTCTTTTTAAAATGTATAATAAAAAGAATAAAACTACTCCAAAGAGAATAAAAAGGACGGCTAAAGGATACAACAGAAAGCATTGTTTACCATTCAGTTGCAGGTTTAAACAGTATGTGTTGATTTAAAAACAGCTGCCTTGATTTCTCATCTGGGTTAATGGACATTCTACAACATTGTGCAAGTGTTCATCTTTTTTTTTCTTTCCTTATTTGCTGGTATTTTATGAATGGTAAACAATAGTTGGTCCAGTGCATAAACACAGTGACACAGATCAATATATGTAATAAACGCTCAGTTTAATGCTGAGATACAGAATCAGAACAGAGAGTACTGACCGAGTCCAAAAGTCCAGACCTGGTGGCTCTCTGGCATCGTCATGAAGCAGTGGATCTAAGCTAAGCTAAATTAATTTAATGTGATTTAATGAATTAAGTTTTATTTTTCATCAATAAAACAAAGATGCTGTTTTACTGCACATCCAGTTGATTCAGATAATGTGTATTATTTTATTAAAAGCTTATATTAGAACTTTTGGCTGCAGAGACATTTTGAGACGCTATAAAACGTGAAGCTGTTTCAGATTAAAGCCGTTTCTGTCGATTAGATGTTTATTTTAAGATGAGGGGAAGCAGCAGGTCTGGTTTGGTGTCTCCAGTTCCTGGAAGCTCTGAAGGCTTGCTCTCCGTCCCTCAGCCCTCTCTACTTCTTCTCAGACCACTTGAGGTTTAGTTGTTGTCGCCGCCCCGTGTGAAGCAGTGAGCAGCTGTGGTGACAGCAGAGTTTCAGCAGCTGGTAATCAAAACGTGCTGCTTGTTCATCATGAAGGTCGTGCTGCTGGTCGCACTGCTCTCAGGTAATCATCCTGTTCTGATCTAGTTTGTGTTGCTACAGTTCGGTGTGTTTCTACATGCAGGATTTTCAGTGTTTTTGTTCCTTTAATTGAAGAATTGAAGAATGTCCATCTTGTCTCTGAAGGTTCTGGTTCTGATTAAACTTTCTCAGATCCAATCAGCTGCAGAGACGAAGCTCTGCTGATCACTGACATGTTGTAGCTTCAGTCTTTAGTTTCTGACTTTATGAGTCATTGAAGTCAAAAATGACCATAAAATCACATTAAACCACTTAATTACAATAAACTGGTTTCTGTGTGTGAAATGAGCCAGAGACGTTTAACTGATTGTTAACGTTCTGTTTTCAGTGTCAGGATGTGACGGCATGAAAGTTGTTGGTCAGACGGGTCAGAATGTGACTCTGCCCTGTAATTATCATATAAAACAACATGGAGCACTGCATGTTTGCTGGGGAAAAGGAGAAATACCGTCCAGCAAGTGCAGCAACCAGCTCCTCTCTACAAACGAACATAAAGTTTTGACCAGAGCTTCCAGCAGGTATCAGCTGCTGGGACGACTGGATGAAGGAGACGTTTCTCTGACCATCCTCAACCTCACAGAGGAAGATGCTGGACGATACGGATGTAGAGCAGAGATACCTGGATGGTTCAATGATCAAAAACATCATTTTGACTTGACAGTTGAAAGAGGTGAGAAATCACAGATTTTCGTTTAAATGTTTATTTTCTGAAGCCAATTATCAAAAGCTGGACAAAACCATCAAATTACAATTCAAATGTTTAAATTATTTTGACAAAAATATTCTAATTAAGTTATTTCTTTATGTCTTAAAATGTTGTCAGCTTTGAGTGGAATTGGTTCCCGGACTGAAGCAGACGGTGAGTTTATTATCAACCAAACATCTAATTTCAAAGACTAGCAGCAGCTAAAATTCTCCCTCTTAAAATTATTCCTGACTGTAATTTATGACACAAACACTTTTCTTGTTTTTCAGTGACCCTGTTAATATTTTACTGTAAGAATTCAAATCTAAACATTAGTTAAAGTGTTGGGCTTTGACACTTTGTTAGTCCGAAGTGAAGCATCTTAACTCATTTAGTTAGAAAATATATTCTCTTCAGCCAACAGCACAATCACTAAAATTTAATTTCTAACTCAAATTAGACATTTTTCAGATGTTCAGTAGAACAAGATCTGGAAAGAAGTTTGTTTTGATTGAACCTGATACCTGAGGATGCTGTGTTTGTGTCCAGCTCCGACCACCTGGACCCCATCAGAACCTCAGACGTCCTCAGAGAGACCAGCTGCTGCTCAGACTGCAGGTAGAAACCCAGCTGGTCCATCAGATCTGCAGCAAGAAGCTTGACTCTGCAGGGTCCAGATCAGATAATTCAGTGTGTTTAAAGTTTGAAACTTCCTGTTAGTAAAACAGGAAGTTGATTCTAAGAAAGAAACATCAGTCACTGTCATGTTTGTTCAGATTGTCTGCACCTCTCTCGCTCTCTCTCGTCTCTGTCATCAAGCTTCTGATGCTGCTTGACTTAAAAAACGTATTTGTTTATTTGAGCATTGTATTTTGAGACATGACAGCAAAATTATGACTGATTATACATAACGATTAAACAAATTTCTTTCTCCACCTGAAACCATTTTATTGTTATCTTTGTGGACATATGAGGAAGTTTTATACCAGCTTCCTTAAAAAGTCTTAAATTCATGTTTCTAAAATGAAGGCCTTCAAATATTTTAAATTAATTAAGTTGGCCTTAAATCCATTAATCTCAGGCCTTATTTTTGAAAACAATTTAATCTCATATTCCATATAGGATTTTATTTTATTTATTTTTTTGTTCTTGCTGGACTTTTCTGTCAGGCAAAAGCTTGAGTCGCACTCAGAAATTGTTGCGTTTTGTTTAGATTGCTTCTAATATACCTTTGCTATCTATCATGAGCAAGTCCAAGTTCATCGTCCGTTGACTGTTTGATCCTCACGTTTGTTGCTAAACCCGTACAATGCTGGGTTCTAAACACTCTGCCTTACGGGGTTCAGGCTGCAGAGACACAAACAGACCAGAAATGTCTCAGTTGATTTGCCCTGGCACGGCTAAAGCTCCCCAGGAAACGACCGGTTCTGATGCTACTTCAACCTTTCAATTCAAATGATCACACTCGCCTGCAATTTTTGACCTAGAAAATAGGATTCATACTAGTATTCAAAACTCCTGATTTAAGACTTTGTTCCCTCTAACAAGCTGTTCTAAAATGATCTGCTTTCATTTCCTCATCCAGCTGATCAGCTGACTACACAGAGCCTCCTGACTTCAGCTGAGGTGAGGAACATGACGAACCAGTCAACTTTATTTAATGTCTGATGTGACGAGGAGAGATGATGTGACTGTTTCACTGCAGATCAGTTCAGTTTGTGGTCATAATGATCTGCTGCTTTTCCAGAGTCGGTTTAGATAGAAATGATCAAACAGTGACGGTTTTCATCCAACCTGTCCCTGTTTTAAAGCGGGGCTGATTCTAGAGACATTTACAAACAGCAGCACTTTTTTCAGTAATCGAGTTGATCACTTCCTGAATGAGTTGATGATCTTTCATGTCTCTCTGTTTGTAGCATCAGCAGAAGGGCAGCTTGCTGACTCTGGGTCTGCTGCTGCTGGTTCTGGTCACTGCAGTTGGACTCTTCAGAAAGGGTGAGTTTGCTGTGGCTGGTTTAGCATCAGTCAAGGACAAATGGTGAATGTTTATACCTTTGAAAGGGAAATTACTTAAAATGAGAATCAGTTACCATGTTTGTTGAACCCTGCAAACCGGATCAGCGAGATGCCGCTCTCACAGTTTCATCAGAACTGCCCACCACCTGCTGAGTGACCTGGACACACTGTTCGTTTTTATTACTCAGCAATAACTGCTATTTAAAGCATAGAGCAGCTTCTTCTTGACTTTAACTAGAAAAAACCCATAAACAAAGCTCACTATTTTATCAGATTGGTGATTTTGATCTTTCCTATCAGCTTCTGCTCTGCTGACTTTTTCTACTTTTCTTGCGATGTGTCGCATTTTGTTTCGATTGCAACTCTTGGATATGTTTGCACAGTATTTTTGCTTTTTTTATGCGTTGTCCTTAATGCTACTAACTAAATATGATCGCATGCACAGAAGATGAATATAGACGTCATCAAGCAGTGCAGCAATAATGGCCGCCAGTGGATTTTAAAGTCGCTTTGGGCCGACAGCATTTACACCAGATCAGAACCAGTTTCAGCCATTCTGATTCTGCTTCATCTGCTGCAGAATTATGACATAATTATGAGATAAAATGCAATCTAACATTCAGACTGCAGACGCTTTGAAATCTATTAAATGCTTATCTGACTTAGTTCCACAAATAGTAGTTGCACAATTTGATTTTTTCTTCTTCTGAAAAGCATTGAGCCGTTCAGACTGCTGTAAAAAAGACCTATATGGGTCACATTCGCCTGCAGTCTGAATGCAGCTTTACTAGACTAAATTTTCTACTCCTGCTACACATGGTGAATTACGGTGGTGGAGGAATGGTGATCTGGGTTTGTTTCTCCCCCCACAGGACCTGAACACCTCGTAGTCTCTGATTGGACCAGAACCTCCTGTGTTTACCAGACAGTTCTGGAGTCAGAAGTGAGCCGATCTGTCCAGCAGCAGGAGAGGAAAACAACCACTGAGGCCGTTTACTGCTGCAGCTGATTCTACCAGCTCTGGGACCAGAGTCAGGGTCAGTTAGTTCATATTTTTAAAAATGTTTCTGGTGTTTCTGTTTGCAGCGAGAAGCAGCTTGAACTGTGAGTCTGATTCTCCTTCTGTTCATTTCTAGAAGCTCTGAACCGTTTCTGACATCAAAAGGTTAATGAGCTCCTCCTGGAAACTTTGATGCATCATCATCAGTATCAGTCAGTGATGAGAAGAAGCGACTGAAACCTCAAACCTCATAGAAGGTTTCAGTACAGCTCAGCTAGGAGTCGCTAACTCCCATGATGCAAAGCATCCATGGGGGGTTACATTCTTCCTAGTCACTAACATTTGACCATGACATATGTAGTTCTGACTTAAGCCCAGGTGATCAGTACAAGAGAGGAAAGAAGGTTCTGAAGTGGCCGGACATGTTAATAGAGAGGTGCATGTTTGTTTAATATGGTGTCACATTTTTCCACTTTTGTCATAAATCACTTTTATTTCAATGTCATTAGAAGGGGTTCTTATAATAACGTATTAAAAATAACCACATGGATTTAGATAACTTAGTAAAATCTGAACATAACAGTTTTTCTTATTTCAAAGTAAATATACAGAACTCGTGAGTTGTTTTATTCTCTGCTTTGATAATTTTACAGACCGTCTTCCTCAACACTTTCTTCACATAAACAAAATGTTGACTAAAAACATCACGAGTGATGTAGAAATATATTTGGATGTTATAAGAAAAAATAATTTGCAAGAGTACTTTTAATGAAAATGAGGAAACAATCTTGAATAACAAAACACAAAGTAATAACAGCATTTCCAACTGAATCAATAATAAACATTGTTCACTTTATTCAAACCGTATTTACATTGAAAATACGGTTCAAAGTATTTCAATACATTGAACCTGCAGAATGATACTCAATCATTTATCCTTTTTCAGTCTCATAAAAGGACTGATGGCACCTCCTTGTCATTTCCTCTTTCTTTCCCTCTGGTTTGTTCAGGGAGAAAGTTTTGGCGGGACAGTAAATATATTTACCTGGCACTGGATGGATGGATGGATGGATGGATGGACGGACGGACGGACGGATGTCTTTGTTTATGGTGGTAATTTATTATAAGCTAAGCTACAAATTGCTACTTTGTTCAAAAATGTAGGTATTTGAGACATGTCATTTAAATAAAACACAATTATTCTGTATTAATTTCCTCATGGTACTGAAAAATCAGACATTTGTTTGAGAAAAAGCTGTTTCTGTTCTGGATGTTTCAAGTTATGAGGAAGCTTCAGTTTTTGTTTGGATTCTTCAGTTCTTGAAGCTTCTGTAGCTGTTTAGTAAGTAAAAAACATGACAAACTATGCAAAACTATAGTGTAACACTGTCTTAGCAATATAAGCAACCTTTTATGTTAAGGCACAAAAACATAAATTCAGCCTTACCCTATGACCATTTTTTTAAAATATGATAGAACTCAGTGTTTTTAAAATGTACTATATGACTATAGTGCAGTGTTGATCAATTCAATTTAGAGAATGTGTATCTGTGCATTTAATCACTTGCATGTTATTTTATTTTGACCATTATTAGTCTAATACCAAAAGGTGATTTTGGTTTAGTAATTAACCATTTTACATTACTTTTAGCATGTTGTGGTGTACAAAAAGCAATGTCCTGTTACATCCTAACCGTTTGGGATTGTTTATGGTCTGAAGAGTCTTCACTCCGTCTCTGGAAATAGTCACCCAGAATGACAACACATTGAAGCAGGTTTTGAATATCTGAACATTAATTTTCTTTTTGTACAAATGTAAAAACAAAGGAGTGAACGGCATGAAGCTAATGAGCCACGTGATCCAGTCAGTCCCCGGTGTGGGCCGCCGCCATCTTGGCGATTGGAGCGGCCATGTTGTTGGCTTTCCTATGGAAAAAGTAAGCGTACTTTATATGTTTCTTGTTTTAGGATTAATGGCATCAATTAAACATTGTTCTTTATATAGCTGTGTAGTTTCGCGGTGTTTTTTTCAGCCATTAAATCATGGCTAACTGAGTGACGCAGTTACATTTCTTCTGTTAGCTCTGCTCGGTTAGCAACAGTTTGTTGTGACTATTCAGCACATTTACTCTTTCTTAAGAAAAACTTTAAAATCGACATATTTTACAATATTTTAGGCTAAGTAGGATATATTTGAGGTGTTTTCATGGTCTTTTCTGCCTGTACAGTGTAATAGTAATTCAACGTTTATAAGTTCGAGTGGCTGTAGTTCAGTCATCTGACCAGCAGATGACAGCAGACACAGTAATCATGAATTGTAGGCTTAACTTGAACCCTGTTGTAGTCTGAGGTTTTGTTTATTTTGTAAAATCACACACTCTTCTGTGATGTTAAAAACAAAGCATCGCAAACCACCCAGTCAGCTCCAGAGCAGATTAACAGGGAGGCATCGGCTTATTTTGACTGTGAAAAGTTCTTTACGTTTTACCTGTTTGCTTCCATAATTCTAACACACGTGAGCTGCTCTGCCCAGCAGAAGGTCTCCTCGCTGCCGCTCAGGTGTAAAACCAGCGCGAGCGTCTTTGCGCTCAGGTTGCATTTAAAGGCGGCTCGGAAAAACAGGTTACGACTTAACAACGGATTAAACAGTTTTAACTGCTGAAAAAAAAAAGACAGAAGGCACAGATATGGAAATTGCGGAAGCCTCTACTGTATCAAATCGATATAGGAATAACAGAGAGTTGGCCACTTTAAGGTAAAAACAACAAATATCATCCAGTCCAGGGGGTCACAGCTGATCGTGGGCGGGAAATGCCTGAACTAAATGATAATTCTTTACATATACCCTTTCTGTACTCGCAGTGGACAAAATGGGTACTGACGCAGTGTGCATTCGTGGCAGTCCTCGTTAGTATAGTGGTGAGTATCCCCGCCTGTCACGCGGGAGACCGGGGTTCGATTCCCCGACGGGGAGGCACGACTTTTTCCACTTTTAGTTTTATTTATGCAAACACTTTGCAGGCATACTGCCGACGTTTTACGCCAAGTAACATACAGACCAATTGTTGCACAGTAGCTACTGAGGGAAGTAAATATGCTCATTTACTTTGGAAAATACTCTGTCATTGCTCTATTAAAAGCAGTTACTTTAACAGAGATCAAATAACAAAAACTGTTAATTTATTTAGTACGGTGAGGTAGATTTCATCATTAATAAGAACTCAACGTTGAATATTGGTCCTTTTACTTTGTATGAGTGGCGCCCCACAGTGGACACCAGGGCAAATAGACCGTGTTTACTATGTAAACTCTTATTGATCAGATCTATTCAGTTGGTCAGACAGCCAAGACCTGGACATGTTATCAAAGTAAGCTTTATAATCTATTTTTAGATATTAATTCTATTTCACCAGATTTTTGTCTAACAATTACCATCATGTTGTAACCAGAGCTCTGTGGTTTCTGTCTGTATTCAGAGTTGGTGTTTTCTGCAGAGCTGCTTTCTGTTCTCACCTCTGAAGAGAAAAATTGTGTAAAACGCTCAGTTTAATGCTGAGATACAGAATCAGAACAGAGAGTACTGACCGAGTCCAAAAGTCCAGACCTGGTGGCTCTCTGGCATCGTCATGAAGCAGTGGATCTAAGCTAAGCTAAATTAATTTAATGTGATTTAATGAATTAAGTTTTATTTTTCATCAATAAAACAAAGATGCTGTTTTGCTGCACATCCTGTTGAGTCAGTTAATGTGAAACTAAACTTATCGTGACGTAATATCAACAACTGCTTGATTCTGATGAACAAAAAGACCAACTGAAGCCACTAAACTGAGAAAATGTTGCATGAATAATTTAAAGTTGAGTTGTAGATTATGTTTATTATTTTATAAAAAGCTTATATTAGAACTTTTGGCTGCAGAGACATTTTGAGACGCTATAAAACGTGAAGCTGTTTCAGATTAAAGCCGTTTCTGTCGATTAGATGTTTATTTTAAGATGAGGGGAAGCAGCAGGTCTGGTTTGGTGTCTCCAGTTCCTGGAAGCTCTGAAGGCTTGCTCTCCGTCCCTCAGCCCTCTCTACTTCCTCTCAGACCACTTGAGGTTTAGTTGTTGTCGCCGCCCCGTGTGAAGCAGTGAGCAGCTGTGGTGACGGCAGAGTTTCAGCAGCTGGTAGTCAAAACGTGCTGCTTGTTCATCATGAAGGTCGTGCTGCTGGTCGCACTGCTCTCAGGTAATCATCCTGTTCTGATCTAGTTTGTGTTGCTACAGTTCGGTGTGTTTCTACATGCAGGATTTTCAGTGTTTTTGTTCCTTTAATTGAAGAAATGAATAATGTCCATCTTGTCTCTGAAGGTTCTGGTTCTGATTAAACTTTCTCAGATCCAATCAGCTGCAGAGACGAAGCTCTGCTGATCACTGACATGTTGTAGCTTCAGTCTTTAGTTTCTGACTTTATGAGTCATTGAAGTCAAAAATGACCATAAAATCACATTAAACCACTTAATTACAATAAACTGGTTTCTGTGTGTGAAATGAGCCAGAGACGTTTAACTGATTGTTAACGTTCTGTTTCAGTGTCAGGATGTGACGGCATGAAAGTTGTTGGTCAGACGGGTCAGAATGTGACTCTGCCCTGTAATTATCATATAAAACAACATGGAGCACTGCATGTTTGCTGGGGAAAGGAGAAATACCGTCCAGCAAGTGCAGCAACAGCTCCTCTCTACAAACGAACATAAAGTTTTGACCAGAGCTTCCAGCAGGTATCAGCTGCTGGGACGACTGGATGAAGGAGACGTTTCTCTGACCATCCTCAACCTCACAGAGGAAGATGCTGGACGATACGGATGTAGAGCAGAGATACCTGGATTGTTCAATGATCAAAAACATCATTTTGACTTGACAGTTGAAAGAGGTAAGAAATAATCACATGATTATAAAAATTAGTCTGATACCAAAGGCAACAGTTCTAGACGGGGCAGCTGTGGATCAGAGCTAAAGAAAAGTTAATGAAAACATTTTTGGTTTAAAAAAGTTTTGAAACTAAAGTCCAGGTTAAGTCTTACATATTACCATTGAAGGAAAGGAGAAATCGTCTCCTCTTCCCAAACAGTGACAGCTGCTGATGTTTGGTGCTTTAGTTTTCCTCACTGATTCTGATTTATGACGGTTTGATATCAGGTCTTAATCCTTCAGATCCTGAAGAGGAGTCAGAGACCATCTGCCTGAATCAATTGAAGAAATGAGAAACATTTTAGAGTTTCTAGTCTGGCCTCTTGTTAAGTGTTGGTGAGGAAACATGGTTCACCGTCCCTGAGCAGATCCACATCATTATCGTCCAGAACAGAACATCCAGTCTTCATTTCCCCCCAGATTTTCCTGTAACCTTCAGAAACTGGTCTAAGTTATAAGTGTCCAGCTCCTCTTGAGTCGTCGTCCTGTCAGTTTTAGTTGAATCTCTGCTCCATCATGGCTCATTCAGTCGGTCCATCATGTCCTCAACATGTCCTGAGGTTCTGCAAAGGTTCTGCTGATGTACTATGACTGGATCAGGTTTGTTGGACCAGAGAAAGAACTGAAAGATGAAGCAGGACAGTGGCTCTGGAGGACCGACTGTGGACACCATCAATAATTTTAGTTCTTCAGATATTTGCTGGTTCAAGTCCAAATACCTAAAAATCATCTATGTATCGACATAGAGCAGAGAGACTGGCAGAGAATCATTTAGGTTTGATCCTTTGTACTTTGTTAACATGATTTTGGAGAGTTCTCTGAGATGTTTGAACATTGTGTCTCATATTGATCTATTGATTAACCAATGATGTTGATGGTGATGCTGTGTTTGTGTCCAGCTCCGACCAGCTGGACCCCATCAGAACCCCAGACGTCCTCAGAGAGACCAGCTGCTGCTCAGACTGCAGGTATCTGTGCATGGAGGCTGCAGGGTCCAGATGACTCAGTCTGATCAAAGTGTGAAAGATTAGATAAGGGAGTTGGTTCTGAAACAGAAACATCGGATCTTGTTGTTCTGTAATGTGTCTGGTTCAGCATGACTCTGTCCTCTATAGCTAAGCTGCTGATTCTGCTGTTCTAAACTCATCTGCTTTCACTTCCTCTTCCAGCAGATCAGCTGACCACAGAGAGCCTCCTGACTTCCTGTTCTAACAGCAGCAGCTTCACAGAGGAGGTGAGAACCATGATGTCATCCTGAGAGACAGCAACCAAAAAACAGTCAGAAAACCAGTCAGGGTCACTCAGTGGCTGAACTCGTTTCTGTCTCTAGACCAGTGGTCATAATGATCTGCTGCTTTACCAACATGAGTTTAGAGTGAAATAATGGGCCTGGGTTGCCACAGTGGCAGATTTTATCACGTGTTCCAGTTTTAAACCAGAGCTGTGGGTTTCTCAACCAGATACGGATCAGAACCACATCAACCATTTGAGTCAGACTGACCGCCATGTTGGTCCAGTTCCTGTTGGATCTCAGCAAACAGATCAGATTTATAAACACAGGATCATCATCAGGCAGCATCAAAAGCTCATGAACTCTCAGTCGTGTTGAAGCTCAGAGCTTGCAGAGGAGGATTCTGCTCTGGACTCGTTGTACCACCAAACTGAACCTTTCGGTTGTTGTGGCTGAAAACTAAAACTATGATGGAACTACAAACCCCATAATTCAGATCTTTTATCTCGACTCGTTCCTGCTTTCAACCTCCTGAAAACATCTTGCATCATCCACATCAAGACTGCAGGATATAGGCAGACGGTTAGCTAACGGTTGTGAAACTATGTATGTGCATTTGTTGAAGTGAACTTAACCCAAGGGTCAAAGTTCACATGGAAGCACTAGAAAACACCAGCTGACAAAGCAGAGCCTGCCTTCCTGAAGATGTAATGCAGCGGCAGAAACACTTCCACTAATGCACTAATGGCGGCACTAAGGATTTTGCTTATCTTTAGCTAAATATCATGCATATATACCGCTTCAGCAAAAACTGAACTAATGTTTTTAACCAGTGGGCTTGGGTTAGCGCAGCTTGCTTTTTGCTAGCAGTGCTATAATGGAAGATGAATATGAGCTATTTTCTTATATTCATGTTGTTTTTTATATTTCAGGTTATAAATTCGTCTCAGTAATTTATAGAAACTTGCAGAAACTCTTCGCTTAGCTCCATTTCTATCTGCTATGCTAACTGAGGGTTAGCATGGAGCTCTCAGCATTCTGATTGGTTACTGTTGTGAATGGCCCCAGATGCTGATGGAAGCAGTTCCTTCAGCTCTCCAGTCCTGCTGCTTCTACATGCATGCTGCTCAGAGTTCTGGTTCCGATCCGTTCTCCTGGTCCAGCTGTTGGAGAGCAGACGGTACTAGAAGCAGCAGGAGGTCCGCTGGAGTTTGGTTCTGATCTGATGAGGCTTCATGGTTCTGTCTACAGCGGCAGGAGGAGGGCAATACGGTGACCATGGTTCTGGTGCTGGTTCTGTTCCTGCTGGTGGTTGTGCTCACTGCAGCAGGACTCTTCTTCATGGGTGAGTTTACTGCGGCTGATTCAGCAGAACAAAGAGCAAAGAGTGAACATGTAGAGGAAACGACCAGCGCTATCTGCTAATCAGTTTGGTTCAAACTTCACAGGTTTCAGCTGAAGCAGAACTCAACCACAACCAGAACCTCCCATTTTAATCAGCACTAAAACAGACCGTTTGTTTAAAAACGGGTTACAATTTCACAACTATACCAGTTCCTGGAGTCAGAAGTGAGGCTTCTTAGCTTGTCTAATTCAGTTGGTTTTAGTTAGTTTTTAAAGTGTTTACTAGTTTTTATTAGTTAAATATTGTTTAGTTATAGTTTTAGTTTTGCCACACTTTGGTTGATTTTTAGGTGCAGAATTAGAAAAGGTGAAAGTATTGTGATTATGTAAACATGGATCAGTTCATGAATACTCAGCAGCAGAATCCATTTTCTAAAAATTCATTTGTTTTTTGTTGAACAATCAGCTGACTCCGGAGTTTTCTAACATCTTCTGCCGCCGGTATTTTGTGGATTAGTTTAGCCTAGCATTGTGTAGCCTAACTTAGCCTAACTTAGCATAACTTAGCGAAGCCGCCAGGAGGAATATAGAAGCCACAATTTACATACAGCTAAAAGACTAAAATATCACTAAAACATAACCTTTGAAAGGCTGATAAATAGATACATAAACACAAAAGATATTACATCTATAATTTCTGGATGTTTTAGTTGGTTTCATAACAGTTCCAGTTTTTTCCATTAACAAAATATTTCAGTTTTTATTATTTCCTAAGTTGAATTTGTTTATATCCTTGGTTTGGGGTTTGTTGTTTTAGTTTTTCCCTGTTTTTGCATGTGATGTGTTTTGATTCTTACATTTTATTAATCTTATAATCTGAACCAACCGGATTAGTGTGAACTGTCAGAGGTTGTACTTTCTTTTTTATTGCTGAATCAAACATTTTGGTGTTTTTAAAATTGTTTCTGATGTTTCTGTTTGCAGCCAGAAGATGGAAGCAGCTCAAGCTGTGAGTCTTTTATTCTTCTGTTCATTTTTAAAAACTGAACTCTTTCTGGTTCCGGGCAGAGTGACAGGAATCTTCATCTTCATTGATGCATATGTTGGAGGGATAAGGGTGCTACAGCCAGAATATCTGCATTTTCTGGATCTTTGTCCCTTCTCACCATGCTCCATGTCTTTATGTTCTATAGACAACATGTACAGATGTATAAACATCTATTTTTCTTTCATAAAGAAGCCTTTTATGGAGCTTATTTATTCCCTCATTCTGGGAAAGTTGTTTAGATTTTTTTGGGGGCACAGGTCAGTGGATAAGACCCCTGTTCCTTGTGTAAAGGTTAAATATCTTTAACGGCATTTAAAGGTCGCCGTTAAATGAACCGCTGATTCATTCATGACTCGGCTTCTCCTGGAAGCAGTGATGCTTCTTCATCGGAGCATCATCATCATCATCACTCGTCTCGGTATTCAGAGTGAAACTCTGGGAAAAACGCCTCAAACCTCACCGCAGGTTTCAAGCCGTTTAACTCCCATAATGCAACGCGGCTTCATGGTCCGAACAGATCTGAGCTGAAATGGTAGAACCCTCCAGACTTTTAACGGGCTTACGATCAGGTGGTTCTGCCAGCAGTTTAACCCTTTATTGGATTGATCTGATAAACCAGTTTGATCTGATTCCACTGCTCAGCCTTTAATACACAGAATATTTCATATCTGACTCGTTAATGCAGCGAGAAACAACCAAACTCTGCAGCTTCAGCTGTAATATTGAGACCCTTTATTCAATAAGTGAAGCTCTGAGTCAGATTTCCTTTTTTACAAGAAAGCGAAACCTGAGCGTTCTTCTCTGACTCATGTCATCCTGCCAGCGTTCAGCTAATGCAGACAGTTTGAAATGTCACGCCTCAAACGTTACGACGAGAGCCGAACATCACGAGACCACCATGGAGACGAAGAGTTAACCGCAGGGTGACAGCAAGCTGCAGAAGAAGACATGACCTTTAAAGTTCCTCTCAGTCAGCCACACTGACCCATATCTGCAAGTTTAAAGGAGCATTTCTCTCTAAAATAACAGATTCACCACAGCAGGAGTTTCACTCATTCAGTTATTAAAACATATAGATTCATTCTGAGCAGAAGAGTAAACTAGTTAAAATGATTTAATTTTGATGATTTCAGCTCAGAGAAAAAACATAAAAATCTGACCAATAAATAAATAAGTCTGACCACCTCAAGCTTTTCTTTTAACTCTCATTAAAAATAATAGTCCATAAAAAGCAGTGTCGTTGATTTTTTTACCTTTAATGCCCAGAATATTTCACTGTCTGGATGTAGATTTTATTTCTATATTTGGTTCTGAAGACGTTGGAAAAATTTAAAGTGAAACTTTTATTTTCATTTCTCCTGAAATGTAAAAAGTTGATTCAGTTTAAATGTGCCTTTAGGGTTGATTTATGGCAGTAATTAACTTCAGCGTGGTAAACCTGTCTCAGTGTTTTCTACCAGTTTTTCCTTCCACTCAGTTTTCCCTTAGCATGTCTGGATGCACCCTCTATATTATTGGCCTTTTGTTGCTTCTCTTTGTCCTGATAAAAGTCAAACTGCTGATTCTTCTGAACATTTTTCTGTTTTTTATATTTCCACTGTTACTTCCTGTATTTCAGTTTTCATTACATCACTGAATTATTCCAGCTTCTATTTGCTGAGTTTCTCTCAGTTTGTTGTGATTCTTGTAGCTTTAGTGGTTTTTAAATCTCAGTGGGTTCTGCTTCATCAGCTGGTTCTGGTTCTGGTTCTGTTCCAGGCTTCCCCAGCAGCAGCAGCAGCAGCAGCAGCGGCGTCAGGTCCAGATCAGCTCCACCTCCTCCACCCTGCAGCTGCACCAGCGGGCCTCCGCCGTGGAGAACATCTACCAGATAGACGGAGCCGCCGAAGGGGGAGGAGACTACGAGTTCTGCCCCTGAGGCCCCGCCCACTTCCAGCATCGCCACAGAGACAGGAAACATAACGGGAGCTGACCAATCACAGCTCCGCTGGCAGGTTGATGTTCAGGTCAGAAGGTCAAGTTAGAGGATGAGGAAACTCCCGGAAACTATGATCATCATCATGGTCATTATTATTATCATTATTATTGTTAATATTATTATAATTATTGTTACTAACATTTGACATGAAGCTGATTCAGAGTTTAAATATTTAAAACGAGGATTAATGAATCATTTTTTATGATCGGAGCTTAATTTCTGACTGTGATGCTAAACAATGAAACCCTCATGAAAGGTCAGAGGTCAGAGACTGGAATGACATCATTGGAGAGGACACTTCCTGCTGGAATCCGTTAAACTCTTGGGGGGAAACAGAAAACCGTCTTCTGGATCAGAACCGGCTCCGGGTGGTGGGGGAACCTGGAGGTTCTGGTTCTGGTTCTTGTCCTCCTGGCTCCTGTGAGAAGCAGGTTCTGACCAGACGGCTGCCGCTCTTATGAAGCATGTTACTGTTTTTCTATTTGTGAGAACTTTGCAATTTTATTTCTGTATTTATAGGAATAAATTTTACTAATTAATTTCTGCATGGAAACCTGAGAAACTGTTGGTCCATTAAACCCACTGAAAACTTTTTACTGCAGATCATGAGCACAGAGTCTGACTGACTGAAGGCTCATAGTTAATCCCAGTGTGAAGTCATATTAAAGTGTTTCTGTATTTTATCGTCCGTTTCTTCTATGTTTTGTCTCTTTTGTTTTTTCTTTCTGTCGTTTTGTGAATCCATCTGGTTTTCTGTAGAAATAAATCCTGACGGTTTTTCTCCACAGTTACCTGCCGTCATTTGAGACGTTGAACGTGAATCGACAACAATAACCTGGAATATAATCCATATAAATCCATATAATCCCTCCCTAATCTGCTCCTTTAAAGCTGAGCTGGGAGTCAGACTGTCTGGATTCTTTGGTCGTCTTCATACCTTAAAATAACTTCACTATTTATCACTAATTATATTTAACATCTCAATAAAATCTGTTTCAATTCACTTTTTTGTGTTTAAATAAGAAACACAAATAATGTTTGTGTTTAACATGAATCCAGCATTGAGACGGTTTTAGACAAAATAATGCAAAACTGAGCAAAGTTACAGAAAAACAAAGAAAAAAACTTTATAAAATACAATCAGTAAAATAAAAAGATTCAGGTTTTAGTTACACTTTAAAAACTAAATCCAAGGATTTAGTATTTGGTAAAAAGAGTAACAGATAAGATCATCTGATTTGATATGATACAAATTAATTAGACAATAAAAAACAGTCCAAATTCTGGAGTTTTAACATTTTTCTAAACATTATTTAAAACTTTTGAAAATAATACAGCAAGTATCTAAAGAATTTAGTATTTTAACTTGTTCCTTGAATGGCTCAACAGACAGAAAATAACAGATTCATTCTTAATGCTGGAAAGTAAAGATGTTTTAGTAAAGTGAGCATCTGGTACCCGGCCGGTCCCAGGGTGTCGGATGACTCAGAACCAGAGGAAAGAAAAGCCGACCCAGAAACGTTTCCAGTTCAGCTCGATGGCTTCGGATAGCATCTATTTGTCTATGACAAACGTTATCGTCTCCATCATTTCCCTGTTGTTTATGACATAAAGGCTCCCAGGAGACCGAAAAACCAGCTGGAAGCTTCTAGAAAACGAAATCTGTTGAGCTTCTCCTGGACACGTTAAAAACTAAAATAAAACATTTTATCCACTACGTGTTGATTAATACACTGGAAACAGGAGAAACCCTGAGGGACTCCGTATGACAGACCAACAAAATCTGATTCATATAAGAAAGAAAAATTAAATTTAGACGGGTCGTTGGCTGATTCATTACAAATCAGGTTCAAGTAAAAAGAAATTGTTTTTAAATTCAGAGGAATCTGGATCACTTTAGTCTTAAAAATCACACATTTAATCTGATTTATCAGCTATGAAAGGCTGAGAGAAAACCAGAGAAACGAGAAATGTAAACTTTTTTTGATACAGTTTCATACAGTTAAACTTATTTAAAACATTAATATTTAACTCCTACCAGCCTTCTATTGATTTGTCATTGACAAGAGCACAGACCAGCAGACCAAGCAGCAGCTGGGTCAGCTCCAGTTTCACACCAGAACCACCACTGGTCTGTATGGGTTTTTCTGGTGGCACTGGTTTCATTGGTGGTACTGGTGGATTGTTGCACAAACTGGTTCCACAGCAGCTCAGTCTGCTGATGTTGAGAGGAACGACATCTTCCTGGACCAGGCGACCCAGGTCGGCGTCACACAGGTTACGAGTCATGCAGCCCATAAATGGATACTCTTGGTCGTCCATATTCACTGAGGAGAGAAAAAGCAGAACTGATCGATCAGATCAACCAGGAGACATTGGGAGGTGAACCCTGGCTTCCAGCTGCTCTCAGCCTCACTGCGGCTGCAGGGCCTGAAGTTTGATCCGGGATCTGCTGATCATGTGATCTATCTGCGTTTGGACGAAGAACAAAACCTCTGGGACAATTTATTCTGGACAGATGAGACCAGGATGGACAGAACCAAATATCCCATAGTGGCACAGCTAACTAAACAGCTAAACCCTACAACAATAATCATAATGCGTCATATACATTAGTTTACCTAACGCTGATGCTAACATGGTATTTAGCTTAAACTAATGTTAAGGCACTAAATTTAACCCTGTTCATAGCCACCATGTCTCAATGGGTTTGAACTTTATTCATCTCAAAGTTTACAAAACAGCCAAGACTTTATCTGGAGAAATTAATTGAGGAGAAGCTAAAGCCGCTAAGCTAAATATGAGCTAATCTGCTAGTGGATTTACAGAAGTGTGCTCAGATGCCAACTATCAAGTGTGGTGGAGGAGGTGTGATGGTTGAGCTTATATTGGGCATAGAACCTGGACAGCTTGGCGTCACTGATTGGACCAACAGTTCAAACTGGGTCATCAACAAACCCAGGAGCTGATCTAAAGCAGAACAGCTGAAATTAATCCTGGTCCAGTCAAAGTTCAGACCTGTGCCTGACTAAACCATGGGACCTTCAGGGAATTGAGCAGAAATCCACCACAGGAGGCTGCTGAGGTCAGACAGAAACCTTCTGCTGGACCAGGGGTGTACTTAGTTTGACATCAGGTAAATTGTTCAACTGCGACCAGCAGAAACTCACAGGTTGATGAGAAGCACTGACTCTCCTCTCCTGAGCAGCTGATCTTCTCGCTGCAGTTCGCGAGGGCACAGGAGAAACACTGCAGAGAGTTTGGCACTGGAGAAGCAGGGACTGAAACGACACGGAGAGTACATCTCAGGGGAACAGAAACCTGGATCAGAACCGGCTTTAACGTGTCATTATGGATCTCACCAGCCAGTTGTTGCAGTCGCTGGTGTTGCAGCACAGAGCAGACACAGTCATCTGACGTGTACTGAGTGACAAGGTTGAATGGCCTGAACTCAGACACACAGAGGAGGATTCACAACCTTTATAGATGAGCTGCTCTCCTGAAACTGATCAAAGAGCTGTTAGAGTCGATGGAAACCAGGCAGAAGCTCATTTCATCATGTAGGAAGACCAGGAGGACGTTACCTTGGCTAGATGCTGTTATGCACATCGGCTCAGATGAGGAGCAAGTCTGTTTTCCTGGACTGGCACAACTCAGGTCTGTGCAGTTATAACAGCTCAGAGCTTCAGCTGCAATCAGGAGGAAGACCCAGAGGCACTGTCAGCCAGTGGTGCATACTGCTAGTCAAAATGTTAGCTGCACTAATGCTAAAGCACTAACCGTTAACATTAGTTCCACTAACCCTAAAGCACTAACCGTTAACATTAGTTCTACTAACCCTAAAGCACTAACTGTTAACATTAGTTCCACTAACCCTAAAGCACTAACTGTTAACATTAGTTCCACTAACCCTAAAGCACTAACTGTTAACATTAGTTCCACTAATACAAACTCACTACACCAACGCAGTACTAAGGGGAAGCTAAAGCTAATTAGCTGCGCCAACACATTTAACACAGCCTTACAATTGAAGTAAACCATAAACTGAAAATAATTTTTTTTAGTTGTTAAAAGAGAAACATTACCTGCTGACTGTATCATGGATCACACATGCTGCACTGATACAATAATTCATGTAAAACGAGCCCAGAGCAACTGCTGAGAGCAGGTACAGTTCTACTGGAGTACCAGCGGTCCAACAGAACCAGTCTGACCAGTTTCCACTGGCAGTTGATGGAAAATAATCGAACAAGAATTAATTAACTTAAATATTTAGGATTCTGAAACTTTTGGTGTTTTCCTAAAATTATTCACATCCCTGCAGATTCACAAAGTTAAAGATAGAAAACACTACAGATGGTTATAATGCTTTTGAATGAAGATAATTATCCTGTTTTTAATTAGATTTTTTTTAAATATGTCAGAAATCATTGATGTCTTTTGCAATAATAAATGGAAATATAATTATGAACTTTACAGTAAAATAAACTTTTCTTCTGGTTTCTCTCCCTAATATTCACCTTGTACCACAGATTCTCTATCAGAACCAGAACTTTGACTGGACCACTCTAGAACCTTAGTATTCCCTCCAGTCAGCAGAAACCTGCTGTTTTCTGGGACCCTTCAGTGCTGGTTCTGTTCTGGCCGAACCAAAGTGATCCAGATATCCATCTCTCACTAGTGAATCGGTTCTGAACTGAAGAACTTTTCTGTCATGTTCTGATGTGATTACCTGTTCTACAGAGGGTCCAGATCAGAGTCAGAGAACCGATCAGCTTCATCCTGATGTTCCGCTGGATTCTGGTACCAAGCACACAAACTGAGCTGCATTTATATCCAGGACAGAACCGCGTCACTGACCCAAAACAAAAGCAGCGCTGGATCATTGGCCTGGGTTAGCCGGTTCTCCTCCTGGGCTAAAACCAGAACCCGGCGGTCCAGAGGAATCTCCTTCTACTGGTTTCATCATGTTTCATGTTCCGTTTATGTCCATTTACTCACATTTCACTTCCTTCTTCTTCTTCTCCCCTGGCATCGTTTTCTGCCTCCATTGTTCATCACATCCAGACTCCCAGGAGGCATCATGGAGGAATCAGGGAGCCAAAACTGGGTCACGAACCTTAGAGACGATGATAACAGATACGGAGCGACGCTTATAAAGTTACCAAAAATAAACAGCAACAACCTGGATTGTTTACTCTCAGAAGAGAAGTGACGGGTTTCATGATGCACATTTTCAACATGGTGTAGTATAATTTATAAATGTTACAGTTTCAGACACAATATTTAGTTTCAAACACAATGTTGCGTTAGCAACATGTAGTTTGGAGCAAATATTAGGTTGGAAAGCTAATTATTTAGCTTCAAATTAAATATTTATACATTTTGCTGTTAATTTTTGACTGTTGAACTTTATAAACTGTTTTAGGAACTTGCAGCCCAACAGAGACACGCAGGTTCAGGTGATGGACATTTTTCTGGACAAGTCAAAACATGACAGTTTCGTGACGCAACCAAACCAGATTTTTCTGTGCTTCATCTGAACAATGAGGGATCATCAGATCTGCTCCTCCCTGGACTGGTTTCGCTGGAGCGACTGGACCCGGCTGGACGCCTGCAGAGGAAGGGATTCCCATGAATATCAGTTTGCTTCCAGAACCATTAATTCATTAAAATGAATCAGGATGAGTCAGGATGACAGGTGCTCCTGAGACGAATGCATTGATTGACTCAGGAGGAAACCAGAGGAACGTGCCCATCAGGTTCACCTGCCGCCCTGCTCCGTCCAATCAGAGCGCTCCGTCCAGCCACTCCCCGATGAGCTTCCTCAGCGTTCAGGAGCAGATTCTACCTGTCAGCTGCTGAGGTGAGATCCTGCTGCAGGATGAGCTGGACCATCTCCACGCCGCCGCAGGCCGCCGTGCTGGTTTCCTCTGAGGAAGGCGATTGGTCCACCGGGATCTGCGACTGCTGCCAAGACAAGAAGCAATGTACGTACACAGCACACACTGACAAGCCATGAAAGAGAGAGAAAAACACCAACCCGAACCGCACTGGGAAGCATAGTGGTGGCAGCGTTATGCTGTGGGACCTGTTGGAGGCTGCAGACCTGAGAAAGAGGTCAAAGTTCAGCTTCCAGCGGTACACCCACCCGAACATCCAGCCAGTTGTTATGACAAAGCAGATTCATGGATTAGAATGGCCTAGTCAAAGTCCAGACGTAAATCTGTGGTAAGATATTTAATAGTGAAGCGCCTCCTTGTGGTCCTCAGGCTGCTTCGCCTTCTGGTGCTGCCCCTGCTTCGCCTGTCGGACCACCAGGGAGTTCGGCCAGTGCCTCTGCCTCCCCCTGCTGGACGCTCTGGGATGCATCCGTCCCATCGCCATGTCCATCAGGGTGTCACTGCGCCAGCGCTACGGCATCAGAGTAAGGACAAAAAGCTGCTGCCTCACTTTGTGTTGCTGATCATAATAATGATGATGTTTGTTATTATTATTGTTCTGGTTCTGGTTAGATCCTCTGACTGGTTCTGGTTCTGGTCGTTTTCAGGGCAGCTTCTGTAGCGACTGCTTGTGCTCCACCTTCTGCCTTCCCTGCGTTTGGTGCCAGATGGCCACAGAGATGGAGAGGAGGAAACTCCCGACTGTTCTCAGTGACATCATCAGCAGATGACGACGTCATCAGCAGTCGCCTTTCATGAATCATTTCAACATCTTTAATTGATTTAGTGTCCTCCTGTTTGTCATGATTTATTTAATTGACTTTGTTTCTGTTTTTATTTTAAATCTTTATTTGAAGTTAACCCTGAAACTTTGTGGAAATGCTTCATATAAACATTTTATACATTTTATAACTATTATTTATGTTTATTTACTTGTGAAAATATGATAATTAAGTAATAGAAACATGAAAGTGGAGCATAACAGATCCAGAAGCTTCTTTGAAGAATATTTCCTGGGATACCTAACACACCGGCACCCTGACCAGGAGTTTAAAAGCTGTGTTCAGTGGAGAAAAACTCCTGGAGAAAGACTGATAAAAGAAAAATAAAATATTCTGAATACTGGCAATGGAAAACCATCCTAAACATAGGATCTGTTTCACCAAACTAAAGAATGTAAATGTTTATTTATTTACCTTAAAAAACATAAGAAAACAGACAAATTACTCTTATACTTCTAATAAAAAGCAAAAATAACTAATTTTTAAGTTTTATTGAATAGTCTCACACAGAATCTAGTAAATACTAAAATATTTTTTATAAATGCTAAAAAATTTAGTTTTACTTTATTTTTCTATTTTTAAAACTTGCACTCAGCCGTATTTATATTTTAACAGATTAGAATATAACATAATACGATATATCAATGTCAACAGCTTTTCAGGAAATACAAAAGATCTATCTATAAACTAATTTAAAAACTCTAAAAACATCAAAAACAGAGTCAGATTATCAACTTTAACTGGATTCAAAGTAATTTTAATAACATAGTTTTATTAAAATGATATTCTGCTGCAATCTAATGTGCAAAGATCGATTATGACATAAAATAAAATAAAATTATAATAATATAATAACTGAGTGCAGTTCCCTTTCCTGTCGCTGGTGGCGCTGTGGTCGTGCCGTTTTCCGGTCAGAGCAGAAGAAGTTGAACCTCGTGTGTCTGCCTGCTGGAGTGGTTCTGCTGGATGTAGTGATTGACCGGGATCATAAACCAGGCAGCAGATCATCAATTATCGATCAGAAATGACTAAAGTGAAGAAGGAGAAGGTTTCGGACGGAGAGGAAGCGGCGGTGGAAGCGGCGGGACCCGAGCGGAGCTACGCCGAGCTGGTCGCTCACCTCAACCCCATCGCCCAGCCGCTGGCCTCCAGGAAGCTCAGCAAGAAGCTCTACAAGTGCGTGAAGAAAGGTAGGAGGTTCTGCACGTTCCCGCGTCCCGGTTCTCTGGTACCGGAAGCTCCAGCTGCTGTTTGTATTTGTTTTGTAGCCGCGAAGGGGAAGAACATCCGGCGGGGAGTCAAGGAGGTCCAGAAGTTCATCAACAAAGGAGAGAAAGGGTGAGTCCCAGGGGTCAGAGGTCATGCAGGGGAAACTATTCACACCCTAAACACGGGGAACGTTAATTGGTACCAAATATTAATGGAGAACAACTGAAGCTCTGAGGGCTTTAAAACGTGTGAACAGGTTTAGCTACCCATCATGCACTGGGGCTCAGGTGTGCTAACGCTGCTGCTCTACCTGCAGCATCGTGGTTCTGGCCGGAGACACGCTGCCCATCGACGTCTACAGCCACCTTCCCGTCATGTGTGAGGACCGCAGCCTGCCCTACGCCTACATCCCGTCCAAAGTGGTGAGTGGGACCAAACATCCGGTCCGGTTCGGCTGCTTCTTACTTTGAAATCTGCTTTTAATGGACTTTTTCTTATTTTGGAGTCTAATTATCTCCCTCTTACTGTGAAACTTTAACTTATAAATTTGGATTTAATTTTACTTATAAAGTACTGAAATCTTTGAATGTACTTAGTTCTATAAACTGCTCTTTATTTTTTTACATGAGCTCATTTTGGTTTAAATTGAATGTTTTATTGTGAAATAAAGGTATATAGTATTTTAGATAAATCTATAAGGTTGTTTTAGTTTAATCAGGTATTTTATTGTGAAAAGCTCCTGATATCAAACTCTTATTTTGACATGCTTTTTCCGTTCTATAATTTAAATTTTGGGTTAATTTCAGCCTAATTTATTCTGAAATACGATAATTTAGTGCTCTTACTGTGAAATGGGTGTGACCAGTTCAGTTTTTTGCTGGTTTTGGGTTTTAATAAGATATTTTATTGTGAAATGCTCCAGAGCTTTGACTCTTATTTTGAAATGCCTGTACAGGATCTGGGCTCTTCCGCCGGCTCCAAGCGGCCGACCTGCGTCATCCTGATCAAACCGCATGCTGACTACCAGGACGCCTACGATGAGTGCCTGGAAGAGGTGTCTCTACTGCCCAAACCACTCTGAGCCAATCAGGACGCAGCTTATCTGAACTCAGCCAATCAGGACGCAGCTTATCTGAACTCAGCTAATCAGGACGCCGTGCCAACCTTACATTTAAAGGCGCAGTACGACCTGATTTCTCCCAGAGTCTCCTGTTTCTCTGCTGCACTAGCAGTTTTTACCCGTTTCCAGTGTTTGTGCTAAGCTAAGCTAATGTTGGACTGAAGGACGCTGCCCCCTGCTGGACACTGGAAGCCATGTCTCTAGGGGGGGTTTTATATTAAAAGTGGTAAAATTTGAGTTTCTGGAGTTATTTGTTTGAATAAACATTATTCATAAAATGTTTTCAGGATAAAAGCTGTAGGAACTTGATTTCTCCGGTTTGTCTTGTGCAAAAGTCTTCAATCCCCCGACTCTTTGCGAAATGTTCTTTTAAAAAATTAACAGAATATTTTTATTTTTCATTTTGCAACATGAGTTTTTTTTGTTTCCCATTATAACCTCATTAAATGTTATTAGGATTTTTCCAAACACTTTTACTTAAAACATTTCTTCCACTTTGTATAATGCTTTTTGGTTTTCTGAACAGAAAAAAAGAAAGCTTATAATAGCTTCATTCATAAGTTTTAACATTTTTAAGTGAGTTGAAGAAAGTGCCAAATTGCTGCAACAACTCAAAAGGCCCAATCATTCCGCCAGTATGTTTCATTTAACATGTTAAAATCTTTTCTTATAATGAGCTGGTTTTTATTTCTTAAAACTACATTTTTCTGCTCGGTTTGTCCTATTAAGTGGAATTTTTTCAATTGTGATGTGCAACTTTAAATTCTGTTTTTGTGTCTTTAATAAAGATTTTTTTTCAATCACCTGCAGTTCTGCGGTTTGAGCACGTGGTGGCAGCAGATCTCAGTTTAAGCCGAGATTTTTTGCGGAAGAACAAGTCTGATATATTTTCATTCATTTATTATAAATGTTTATTTTTACTTACCTGAGTTCATTAAATCTTTTTTTTTTTTTGCGAGTTTGTTAATTTAAATATGAACTTTAGTTTGTTGTTGTTGTTATGACCTCCGGACCGGTTCTGCTGCGGTCCGTTTGCCGAACCGTGAACTTTGTTCTCAGATGTTCTGAAGAGTCCGGGTTCTGTGAGTCCAGAACCGTTTCTGAGCTCTGAGTGAAACCCCTTCGGAATAAACCCGTTCTGACCCACAGAACCTCTTTAGTTCTCTCTTTTATTTCCCACACCTGCCGGCCTGACCTTTGACCCCGGGACTCCTGGGTCCATCTAGGCTAGCCAGTTCCCGACGTCTCCAGAACTAATGCAGGTTCCCCTCCCCCTTCCCGCTGCAGACGTGCCCGGGCTGGTCCCGAACCGACCCGAACTCAACCCGCCTCTCGTTGCTCGGGGCAACGGGAACTTTCCACTGCCGAGCCGGAGGAGAGAGATCCTGTCAATATGGAGCTACGGGTCGGTTCCGTTGAACCGGGCCAGTGGTTCTGACGTTTCCTCAGAGTTCTGCCAGATCGTCTCGTGGTTCCGTCGGGTTCTGTTGTGTTAAAGAGTTTCAAATGGACCCCAAAGGTTCTAGAAGCTTCTGCTGACCCAGAAACAGCTGCTCAGACTAAATCCATCCTCCCGTGTCTGAACCGGGTCTGGAGAGGTTCTGGAGGTTCTTAATTTTGGTCCAGTCATTTTGTCCTGCTGGTTCTGTTAGGTTCTGATGCGGTTTCAGGTGGATGTGTTTGTGGGTCCATTAAAGGTGTTAGAAGTTCCTGAAGGATTATTTGGTTCTGAAGGTTCTGCAGATGTTTCTGGGTTCTTTAAAAATATTCATCCTTCAGATTTCACTGAACGATTTATTTATAAATGTCAATTTAAATATTCAGCTGACAAGATCAATGACCTGATTGTTGCTTTTAAATTTTCACTGTGACTTTATTGGCTCTATAGTTTTATTGGCTCTTTGTGATTAAATTTTAAACATTTTTACATTTATTTTTGGAAAATTATCTTTTTCAGGCGGTTTAAATTTTTATCGTCTGTGAGACGTGTGTGTTCTGCTTCAACACACTCTCTCTGCTGCTGGTGTGTGTGTGTGTGTGTGTGTGTGTGTGTGTGTGTGTGTGTGTGTGTGTGTGTGTGTGTGTGTGTGTGTGTGTGTGTGTGTGTGTGTGTGTCTGGGGGGATTAACCATCTCAGTGCCAGTAAACAAAATTACTGCCTAACATTTGCATAACGTCTCCCACACACACACACACACACACACACACACACACACACACACACACCCCATCCTGATGGAGCCTCCAGGATGAACCCAACGTCTCAGCCTTCGTCTTCATCACCTCAGTTCTTTATGTCTGAGTCAGGAGGAAAACTGGAGATAAATAATAATAATAATAATCAGAAGTGTGAGGCTCGGGTTTAAACCAATCAGAGTCCAGCAGAGTTGAACTCGCCACTCTGGAGTGCAACCATATTTAGGACGCTAACTTTTCACTTTGCTGCTATTGCAACTTTTCTAGTCTAAAACTCAGTATTTACTCTGCAAAAACAAAATGTCACCCACTTTTTCTGTCTCGTTTTGAATCAAATTATCTTTGTTCACTTGAACCACGACAAAACCAACTTACAAAACAAATTTCTTTTAAAAGCTGAAGCTACTGAACCGGACCGGTCCGGCTCGGTTTCTGAGGGAATAGTGGCTGGAAGAAACAAGGCTGATCAAAGAAAAATCCTCCCTGATCTACAGGAAGACTACAGAGCCAAAAATGATTATGTTTGTATTTTTGACAGTGGTCTAGGTCAGAGTTGTTCAACCAGAACATAAACTGGACCTTTGTGGTGCACTCAGTCACAACTCATAACCTGGATGCAAACCCATTCAATACTTTGGAATATTATTGACAAAGATATGAGCTTGTTTTAAGTCAATATTAATATTGACTGAATATATGTATCTTTGAAAGTAGTAATAACATCAGACATTTTGTCCATGTTATAACTGCAATAATCTACCAATGTAATTAATATATTCAGGAATTGACTTAAACTCATACATCTTGCTAAAAATGTACAAAACTATAAAAGAAAAAACTTTTTGGAAGGATGTTCTTGCAGTGAACACTCACCTGTCCTGCTGAAAATATACTTTGAACTCGTTTCATTTGTTTTTCAGCTAAAGCTCATTTTAAATTTCTCCTTATTTCTCCTTAGTCTACTGAGACATTTGCATTAGAATCTAGACTGAGATCTAGTGTGTTTACAGTGTAAATACTTTTAGAATAGAAAAGGTGCAACAGTAGCAAGGTGAAAGGTAATCAAGCCAATTTCATTCATAAGTCCTTTAAAGACAGCAAAACTGAACCAACATCATATAAAAACATCATAGTAAAACAATCAGAAAAGATAAAACACAACTTGACAAACAAAATGGCCCCCATTCATTCCGGGTCACAAGCAAGAGACAACAGAAGGGTTTTCAAAACAATTTTTAAAATAAAATCAGTAAGTCAAACAAAATTCATTAAAGATTAGAAAAGTTAGTGTTGAATAAATATTTTTAATTCAGCCAGCAACGGAGTGTTGATCTCCTTCTTCACCTCCAATCATCACATGTAAATGCTGCGGACCTGTAAGCCGTAGCTGCGGCCCGAAAGCTGCGACTGCGGCTGGGGGCGTCACCCTGGCCAGGGGCGTCGCAGCAGCTGGCAGTAAACGAGCAGCACACTCTGGAGTCTGCGATCTTGATGCCGCTGATAGCTGATAGCTGATAGCTGAGAGTGTGACAATGTGTTGAGTATCAACAGAGGCAACACTTACGTGATGTTATCACACACACACACACACACACACACACACACACACACACACACACACACACACACACACACACACACACACACACACACACACACACACATGCACACATGCACACACATGCATCCACCCGGCCGGCCTCTAAGGAGCACCGATCTCCGATTCAGGTTCAATCAGAGGCTCTCCAGAACTTCAGAGTTCAAATGATTTTCTTGCTAGACTTTCATTTTTTTCCATCCAAGTTTCCATTTTAAAAATTCAGATATTAGCAGATTTATTGATGACTGAGAAAAAATTTCTTTTAAAAGCTGAAGCTACTGAACTGGACCGGTCCAGCTCGGTTTCTGAGGGAATTGTGGCTGGAAGAAACAAGGCTGATCAAAGAAAAATCCTCCCTGATCTACAGGAAGACTACAGAGCCAAAAATGATCATGTTTGTATTTTTGACAGTGGTCTAGGTCAGAGTTGTTCAACCAGAACATAAACTGGACCTTTGTGGTGCACTCAGTCACAACTCATAACCTGGATGCAAACCCATTCAATACTTTGGAATATTATTGACAAACCCATTTATTTTAGGAACTTTATCACTTAGTAAGTATTATATAGATTACACACAAATGGATGTTTGAAAGCCTTTATTTCTCTTAATTATGATAAAAACTTGACATTTAAATTATAACAATACATAAGGCTAACAAAATAACTTTTAATACTGAAGTGTAACCTTAATGAAAAGGTCAGACATTTCACTTGACAAAGAATATTCATTGAGACTATTATTATAATCTAATGTATCTATACTATGGGGTGCAGCTTTAAATATCAGCTAAATAGGCCGGTGTAAGGAAGCTAGTTAGCTAGCTCGCTCCGAGCTAAATGTGTAGTTTGCTAACTATATATTTCGTTCATAAACTAAATATGTAGCTTCAATCTAAATATTTAGTTAGTATACTACACATTTAGTAGACTACACATTTAGTTTGCGACATAAACGTTTAGTTTGTAAAGCAAATATTTAGGTTAGATCTTTAGAACTAAGCTAGCTAAGCTCCTCGCTAGCTGGCTAGCTCCATGCTAGCCAGACGGTTAGCTCTGAACATTTTTAATTTTGTAAGTATTCAGGTTGAAAACTAAATATTCAGTTTACAAACTAATATTCAGTTCGAAGGTAAATACACTATTTGCCAATAAAAATATTTTGAAACTGTAACATTTATAAATGAATGAACATGGTGATATTATGACTTTTAACAGGCAAAACAACTCAAATTGATCCTGTTCACATTTTACTGTTGACCTTTATAATCAGCTCCCTTATGAAATACATTTAAAATAATTCATTTCATTTATTATTATTTATCATCAGATTCATTTCTGAAGAATAACATCAATCATTTTCAGACGTTTTATTGTGTCAGAAACTTCATTTATTAATCAAAATGAAGTGAATCAGCTCTAAAATGGAAACAGAACTAGTGACACCAGAACCACAGGCACAAACAGAAGCCACAGGTTTATATATTTACAGTAATACAGTTTGGCTTTTAAGACACACACAAAACAATTAAAGTTGAACCAGATTTGTTTTTAATGGATATATCAATGAATATCTGATTTAAAAAACAAACAATAAAAATTAGCAAATTTTTGACTTCCTTTTTTGTTTTTAAATTCCTGAATGTGAATTTATTTTCAAAGTTCATCACCTTATTTCAGATTTAATCGGATAAATATAAAGATGGACTTTTTCACTGCAGGAGCAGAAAGTCGAGCAGCAGAGCATCGCTGAAGAACTCAGAGAAACCCGGATCAGAACCAGGCTCCATGCAGGCCTGATGGTCGGCCTGGCAGGGGAGTGGGGGGGGAGTCCACTGGGCTGGGGGGAAGAGAGGAAGAGGCGGGAGAGGAGGAGCAGAGTCTGGAACCAGGACGTTGAGCGATGAAGAGGAGGAATCGGAGTGAGGAAGAGCAGAGCTGCTACAGTGCATGCTGGGACATTTGGAGCTGGGCTCTGATGATGATGATGATGATGATGATGATGATGATGGTTTCCTGTCAGACTTCCTCGTCCTCCTGCGGCGGAAGCTGCCGTTGTCGAACCTCTTCCCGCAATCCGGGTCCAGAGTCCAGTAGCTGCCCTTACCTGGGGAGGAAGAGGAAGGTTACAGGAAATGATGTAACAGTGTACAGGAAGTGATGAAGGCAGGTGCAGACCTGGGTCGTCGTCGCTGCGGGCAACCTTCCTGAAGCAGTCGTTCAGCGACAGGTTGTGGCGGATGGAGTTCTGCCAGCCGGCCCGGTTGCGGTTGTAGAATGGGAACTGGGTCGACACGAAGTTGTAGATCTGGCTCAACGTCAGCCTCTGATTGGGCGAACTCTGGATTGCCATTGCGATAAGGGCTGAGTAGGAGTATGGGGGCCGCACCGGGCCCAGTGGATCCCAGGAGCAGAACCAGGACCAGAGCGGAGTGGTGCCGGGGACCGAGTCCGGAACCGGCCAGGAAGATGGAGCGACGCAAGTTGACCCGTCCAGAACCAGAGCCTGGTCCATGCTGTCTGAACACCTGCTGCTCACCTGGCCTTCTTATAGCCCCAAGCCCCGCCTACTGCCCACTGATTGGCTGTTGGGAGGAGGATGAGGCGGAGCTTGATTTGAATTAGAACAGGCAGAATATCTGCCCCGGGGCAACAGGGTGAGACGTCAGGACCTGAGACAGTCAGGGAGAGATTCTACTACCAGAACTGGTCCTGGTTCTTATCCAGTTCTGATTCTGATCCAATCCATTTTCTGATCCAGGACAGGTTCTGATCCGGTTCAAGTTCTAGTTCTACTCACGACCTGAGAAGCTGTGAAAAACATTTAATCCCTGAAATCAGAACCAAGTTTCTCTGAAGTAAACAGAACCAGCTGGATCAGAACCAGGACTTATTTGGACCAGTTTCCTTCAAAGTGTTACTCAGTTTTTCTATCAATCAGTTTCATTTATCAGTTCATTACAGTTGAATCGGTTCACTCCTCCAGGTGTTTTCATTCCCAGGTTTCCAGTTGTTGACGTTTCCAGGAATTAACGTTGAAACCGGATCGGACCCGGAGGCTTCCTGAAGACATTTTAATCTGCAGCCATCAGACAGAACCTCCGGGATGGGATTAGGACCAGAACCAGAACTTGATGCTGACTCAGCAGGTTTTCTGGAACTGGGATCATAGCAGGCTTTACTGGTTTCTGGGTGCCATCTTTAAAAGCATGGTGACTCAGTTCATATTATTAATGAGGTCAAAGGTCAGCCGAATGATTCCTCCAGACTGAGGTCTCTCTGGAACATACTGACCGCTCGAGCCACTCCACACAACCCACTGAGGGTGATTCAAGTCTAGTAAATAAATTTGTTTGACAAACTAAATGTAACAAATTAACTGAATCTTTAAAGGTCGGAGCTTCGTCTCTGTTTTGTTTCTGATCCTCTTGTCTTCTTCTTCTTTTGTTTATCTGGTGTGTATAGCTAGTCAAACATCCAGGGTGAAACCCTGAGGAACTCCACATCCAGGCGTTGAGCTGCTGGATTTCTATTCAAACATTTCCAGTTAAAACACACACAGTTCCCAGCTGATAAATGAACTGCCAATCTGTCAGCAGCGAGCGCTCAGAGTGGATTTACAGATTATCCCTGACACACACACACACACACACACACACACACACACACACACACACACACACACACACACACACACACACTCAGATCATTAATTCATCTCCATCAGTCAGGCTGCAGCTAACGGATTTGTTATCTCATCACTTCCTGATCTGCTCAGGCTGCTGGCGGTTTGAGGCGAGCGGCAGTAATCTGCGGAGGGAACAGTCAAAACATCAGCAACCGACCACTTAGTGTGGGAGTCGGGAGGACGAGAGGTGCTATCATGGGAACAGGTAGCTGAACACCTTCAACTGTCTCCAGATGTAAAACCTCCAACCTGCAAAGAAAGCGAATAACCATCAATTGAATGTTTTTACAGTGAAACCGAGCCTGAAACTAAATTAGTTTGTTCCAAATAAACTCAATAAACTGATACTGGCTTCATGTTTCTGAACTAATTTTGATATTTCTGTGTAAATTGGTTTAAAGGGCCTAAAATGTCTCATTGCTGCCCTCTTTACGTTGAATGGTGGTACTGCAGTTTCCCCGTTTGTTACATCACATTCTGTCCAGGTTTTAAAGCATCTCAGTCAGACGCACGCCCCCTGGTGGCGAGTCAGGAGCTGGACTAGCGAGTGAGGGGAGCAGATTGTCAGGGTCTCTCCAAAATAAAAACATCTTGCTAAATTTGTTGCTTTTTTCAATAAAAAAAACATTTTTTACATAAATGTCGCTACTAAATATTGTACCAAAGTTTGTAAGTGGCAACAGTGATTCCTCCTTTAAAGCTAAAGCACTTCACCATGATATTTATTGAAAGTTAATGTTAAATCAATATACCAACATGTTATTTAGCAGAAGCTAATGCTAATTTGCTATCCCTATTTTGAGTTGAGTCCTTGAACCTGACCACATGATGTTCTGGAAACTCCCTGACTGAAATAAAACGCCAGAACATTTCTGATGTTTCCAGATGTTTTAATGTGACACATTTACAGTAAAAGAGAAGAAGATCTGCACAGAAGCTCTGCTTTAGTCTTATAGTTAGTTTGTGGGACCAAATTGAACAGAACCAACATAAGCTCCAACATTTCTGAAGAATATTCTTAAAAGTTTAAAAGTTGAAACTGAAAAGAGAAGAAACCAAACAAAGCAACACGTGCAAAGATGGAGGTCTTCCTGCTCCTCAGGCCTTTGAACTGAACATTCATCTGAACCGGGTCCAACTGGAGCCGGCTTCGGTCTGGTTCAGTCTGTCAGGACCAGCTCTGCTACAAATAGTAACCGGCCGGGTCCGACAGCAGACATTGGTTCTGGTGGCTGGAGCTCCGGTTTTTAGCATCAATGAGTACCAGAGGGGACTGGGAGTAATGGTTGATGATGCCACTGACTGACGGGAAGAACTGAAGACACAAAACACCACAGTTAGACGAAGAGACAGCCCCCTACAGGCTAAATGAAAAACTACGTCAGAGCGCTGCCCCCTACAGGTTAAATGAAAAACTACATCAGAGCGCTGCCCCCTACAAGTTAAATGAAAAACTACATCAGAGCGCTGCCCCCTACAGGTTAAATGAAAAACTACATCAGAGCGCTGCCCCCTACAGGCTAAACACTGAAACTGGTCAAAGTCAAAGCACGGTGACGTCTCGTAGCATTAGCGGCTAACAGGCAGGTGTTAATGCGTGTTTTAGCTGCTTGTGACTCCAGAGGCCGGCGGTGGTTCTGACCTCCTGGGCTTTGAGTCCAGTTCCCAGCTGGAACTGCTGGCTGTGCTGCCGGATCTGGATGTTGTAGACTTTGTCCTGGTAGAAGACCATGAGGGTGAAGGGCTGGTTGGCCTGCTGCCGGGTGCTGTCCCTCACCAGGTAGGCCCCGTCCTGCACGCGCGCACACACACACACACACACACACACACACACACACACACACACACACACACACACACACACACACACACACACACACACACACATTAACACCGTCTATCATCCTGCACTCAGAGTCCTGATGCTGGATGGATTCTCACCCTCTGGACTTTCTTCAGGCATCCCTCAGCCTGGCCACGGCTCACCTTCCCAACGTACCAGTTTGGGTCCAGACCCTGCAAGCCAATACACACACACACACTGAAGCTGCTGAATGTCCTCAGGCCTGCAGAGTGTAATGCAACAGCACCCCCTGCTGCCCAACCGGGGCTGGTATGTGTCAGATTTTGAATCTTCAGTGTCTGATCAGGATATTGTGATTATTCTGGACTCCCGGCAGTTCGAGGTTTGGTTTTAGAGCTGAGGGTGTCTCTCACCTCGCTGGCGGGCGCAGTAGGAGGTGGAAGACGGCTGGGCGCCGACATGCTGCCTCTGTGTTCGGCTATGGCTGAAAGCAGACAGAAGACACTCAGCAGCCGGTCCCTGATTCACGTTAAGATCAGTTTTTAGATTATTGATTCAACCAGAGAACGCTTGGACTCCTTCAGGTTTCTCTTACCAGACTGCAGCTTGTGAGGCAGAGAGGCCGAGGAGGAAACGCTGCACAAAAAAAAACAAAAAACGCTGCAGAGATTATCTGAGGCAGAAACATTGAAACTCCAGGAAAAAAATATTTTATTACATATGTGTTGAAACTATCACTTTAATATATTTAATATGAGACAGATAATCAGTGAAAACAACAATCTTCTCTGCTCCTCCCATTTACTAGAAGCAACCAATCAGAGCAAAGAGGCGGGACTTAGCGCTGTCAATCACCTCATGTACCGGCCGCTTAACTAGCCGGTGAATGTTAAGGCCAATTACTATGGTAGATAAACAGTTTTCATGGAAACTGTTCATCTGTAAGTTGTTTCTCCACTATTAGCAAATTTAGCAGTGACCACATGAGGTTCATTTACAGAGCTAAGCACCGCCTCCAAGCTCTGGTTGGTTGTTTTTGGTCAGGAGGAGGTGGAGCTGAATCTGTCTCATAAACTGACATGACATAGGGACAGTTTTAACGTCCAAGTAAAAGCATATTTTTTATAAAGGTTCCTGCAGCAAAGGTTACATGCTTTACTCAGATTTCATTTCCTCATTTAAGCAGGTGAGTTATGAAGAACAAACTGTTATTTACGACCTTCTGATGAGACAGGTGAGTAGGAGTGAAGGCTGACCTGGAGGCGTGCTGCGGCACGGGCCCGGGCATCCCGGGAATCCCGGGGCGCGGCGGCAGATTCTTGTGAAGAGGGAACGTGTTGTGTTTAGGGACTGTGGGAAAACAAGCAGGAGGAGGAAGCTTCCTTTATTCGCTCTGTGATGCTTCAGGGTTTCAAACTGGAGAATGAAACTCACCATCTTGTGTCTGCTGAAGAGAGAAGAAGGGGTCAAAGGTCAGTATCCATCACAGACTGTTCTATGTAGCAGTGCACAATCATGTTTCATCTAACATAAATAAAAACCGGAGCAGCTTACCTCTCTGTGTCCATCGAATCTGAAAACAAAAACATTAAATTATTATCAGGAACTTTCTGGAACCAAACGATTCGACCTGAACCACAAAGGACCTGCTGAGGGGCGCTGCTCTGGCAGAGGAGTTGCTCCTGCTGACGGAGGAGGAGGGGGGAGGAAGAACCGGAGGTTTGGACCTAGGCGGTTCCGATGCGTCCGGCGGTGTCCTGTGAGGACAGACACATTAAAACTCCTGACGAGCTGCAAATGCTAAACATAAACATCTCCACATGAGAGAATATTCATCTCTCCACGTGTAAGAACATGAAACGCGTAGAAATCTAAACTAGAAGCTGTTTTCTCGCTGCATTGCGAGCGCAGCACTTCCACAACAACTGAAGTTCCCCAACAGTCAACAGGAGCCGCAGTTTATCGTTAAACCTGACCTGTTGGACGTAAGCGGCCATGTTTAACGCCTGTGATTCAGACGTAG